AGTCAGTTGGAGTATAGTCCAATACACCAAAAAATGTTTCAAGTTCAATTCCTGGTCAGGGCACATACCTAGGTTTCTGGTTCAATCCCCAGTTGGGGCACGTAATACAAGAGGCAACTGATCAGTGTTTCTCTCTCATATTGATGTCTCTCTCTCTCTCTCTCTCTCTCTCTCTCTCTCTCTCTCTCTCTCCCCCCCCCTTCCTGTCTCTAAAAATACCTTGGGTGATTATTAAAAAATACATACACACAGTAAGTTAGGGCATATAGATGTATACACTCTGGAAATTTAAATTTAACAAGCAAGAGAGGTAAGACAAGAACCCTGTAGCTGTCAATGATTTTACTATCTTCTCATTGCAGTAAGTTGCCTGTAGTTTTCCTGCCCTACTCCAATGACCTTCCCAAAGAAAGGAACAGAAGTGGTGAAGAGTGTCATGGAAGATTCAGAATTAGGTCTTACCCTTGAGGAATGGGTGAGTCTAGGTAGAGAAGAGGAGGAAAGGACACCCCCAGGTGGTAGGAACCACTTGAAGGAAACCGAGAGGTGGTAGTGAGCATGACTGAGGAGATGCTAAGTAGGACTCACCACAGAGCCTTTGCACATGCTGTTCTTCCTGTCAGGAATACCGTTCTCAACCCCTTCGTCTCCTAGACTCCCCTTCCCTTGTTCCACTCCTATTCTTCCTCCAGAGCTCAGTCCTCGTGACTCCCTCAGGAAGTTTTTTCAGACTACTGACCAGGGCAAGTCCCTACAATATATGTCCTCTGTCAGTGCTTCACAGTCTTGCATTTGCATTAATTTGTGAGAGTCTTTGATTAGTATGGATCCCACTCTTTAATTCCCACAAGAACAGGAGCTGTGTCTGTCAGACACTCACTGTGTAACCTCTTCATTCCCTGACTTGCTGCAGGGCTTGAAACATAGAAGGGCTTAGCAAATACTCCCTGAATAAATGGATACATTTTGGTTATCAGTGGGGTAATAACCAGGATAGGAGAGTTGTCATTTGAGATTGCTAATCCCATTAGGTTCCAAGCACTGTATCAGCATGCTGCTACTTTCATTTGAGAGATGGAGGAACTGATGTCCAGAGATGTTAACCATCTTTCCCTGTTGACCCAGCTAATAATTGGCAACAGAGGGATTAGAGCCCAGCAGCCTGACTGCCCAGCTCTTGGAATTAACCACGTTGCTCCACTGCTCCAGGCAAAGTTAGGTGTGCAAGTAAAGTCAGGATAGATTTCTGTTTGAAATTGTGGATTTTTTCCCTCCTCCTCCTCTTTAATTATCACCATCATTATCATCAACCCATGAGAAGAACTAAGCAGAAAAGAATGACTTCACCTGTCACGTCTTACATTCAAGTTGACTCTACATTCTGGCAGAGTGATTTGGTCACATTTACGCAGCAGGGAAACTAGACATTTCAAATTCCGATTCCCAGAAAATTCTAGGCTACTTCTCTTAATCACCTTTAAAGAATCAGTATCTTCTTTGCCAGAGCATGAGTTGTTTTAAGTAAAAGGAGGGGATTGACTAAGTTTGGTATTATTTGAGACCTGGGCTTCTATTTCGTGCTCAAAAAGCCAGATCTAGCCTGTGGTCATCAGTAGGCATTGAGTCATAAAGCTTCTGGAAGAAAGACTTCATTTCGTCAAGGAGGCCACATTCGATAGCTGTTACTGTAATAAATAATTACTACTAGAAAATTAACAAAGCCCAATAAAATATGGCACTCTGGGAAAAAGACCTACCCTAGGAATAAAAGTGGCCTTAATTAGTCATCTATACTAGCCACCTGTCTTTGGACAAGATTTTTATTTTAAATCATTTCAGGGCAGTTGTATTATTTAAAGATCTCTAGGTAGAGGAGTACATTATAGTAATAAATAAGCTAATAGTTAACACTTATGTACTACTGTTCCTTACTGCACAGTGTTCCAGACTTTACATGCATTAACATATCTAATCCTCACAACACACCGGTGAGGTACTGTTGCTCTCTCTTTACAGATGAGAAACTGAACACTGCCCAAGGCCACACAGCTCATAAATGGTAGAACTGTCTTTAAACCTGGCTACTCTACCCCTCCAGGACTTGCAGTTAAAACGTCCCCTTGGTAGCTAGTTACTCTAGTTGTCTTCTTTGTCTCCTCGGCTGTAACCGCAAACTCACCTTATTTCATTAAGAGCCCGCTACGTTCAGACTCTTTCACAAATAATCCCACCTTTCTGGAAGATACAGTTGCTTTCTATGAACTTAATTTTCAGGGGAGCCACTATTCAAAAAAGTAAAAGGGAGGCTGAATAAAAATGATCAAATTCTCCATCAAACAAATGAATTCTGAACCTACCACAAATAGCTCTCAGGGATCATGGCGTTTTATAAAGTATGCCCACCCCCCAACCTCCGTTAGAATCCCATCATCCTCATTGCCATATAACCCGAAAATAGCAGCACTTGCTCTCTGTCTCACAGTTCAGCTTTCTTCTTTCAGTCAGTATCTTGGAAAGTCCACAAAACCCAGGGGCCTCCCTGTCCTTGCGCTGTGGTCTGTGTGAAAAACCAGATGATGCCATGCTGACTCGAACTCCTTCAGATGCCTCAGATCGCACATTAGTCACTGGCAAGTTTTTCAGGTACCTTTACCTCAGAGACTACCCAGTTCCTCATTCTCGCTGCCCTGCGATCGCGAACTAATCGCCATAAAAAGATGTGCGTACTTTTTGGGGACACCTCCCACCTCTTCCCTTCAGTGACTGAGTCCTTCACCGTGGTGACATTGAAAGGCCCAGCCATCCAAAGTGACTGGGCTTTAAGCGCCGGATCCCTTCTGGTGCCCTGCAGATGTGGAAAGCCCACCTGATTTCACCCAAGTGAAGCATTTCGCCTGTCATGCCTTACACTGTTGCATTTCTGTGCTTGGTGCACGTAAAAAGTGGAATTACGTGATCTATTGAGTGCTGCTCGCACGTGCATTGACTGCCGAGGAAGCTTCTGTGGAGTTCGTCATTCATAACAAAGACCGATTTCAGGTGTCAGCGCCGAAAGCCCCAAACTGGCATGAGCGATCCAGGGAGTGTGCAGGGACAGCAGCCAACTTTGGAGCAAATCCAGAACTTTCCATTCCCTGTCCTGCCCTGAAGGGCAGAGGCTTTCTGTGCCTGTTATAAAAGGCAACGCACTAAGTTCATAATTAGTGTTATGCCCAGAGGGCGTTTTTAAGTGCTCTACCTGTTTAAGAAATTATTTATTTGTGTGCTTTGAGGTGGTCAAATCCTGACTTAATCCTAACTGTTTTTTTGTGATTAGCTTGCTCTACAAGGCCTGGAGGCCACACCCACCGGCGGCGTGCTCCTTAGAAAGGGCTGTTAGAGGATTCAGAAGCAAACTCTTGCAGCAGTTCTGAGTCAAGGTTCAGGCAGAGACGCCCTAAGGTTTCCAGTGGAGCCACACTGTGGGTTAGAGGGGAGTCTGCCCTTCGCTGCAGGGGCCAGGGGATCTTCTCGCCCCCAGAACCCCATGGGAAATAATCCCAGCTCTGATCAACTCTCAACTCTTGCAATGAGAGATTGGATTGGGGAGTGGGGGAATAGATTGGATAGGATGATATTGAAATCATCCTAACAAAAGCTCGAATCAATGGAAGCTGAGCTATTGGATGATCTTGTAATAGAAGTAGACTGAAAGGGATTCTGTCTGTTTCCAAGACATTTTATTGGCAAGTGTAGGTTCTTCCTCAGGTTTGCTCGATGGGTTCCGTTCCACTTTCTTTCCCTTCTGAGCTAAAGGCTGCTTGTACGGATTAAGATATTTCTAATGACTGTATAGTTGAGAGACCCAGGATTTAGGTCATGCACTTCCTCGAAAAGAGACAATATGGGCTTAGGAGATAGGAGAACCAACTCTTAGCCCTGAAAGGCCTGTGTACCAGGAAACCCTCTCAGTTGTAGGCAAACTAGGATGGTCGATCACTCGCTGAGGAGATACAGTGCATTTCTAAAGGTTTGGCTGAATTTATGACAGTATTCTGATTTACAGGATTCACAAAGGTAAAAATAAAGCCTTTAGTCTTTTCTGTTAATATGAGCTTAGTGTCGGGGCTTTCTCAAGGAAGGAATATGTGGTCTGCTCTAGGGATCTGAGAACCAACCGGAGGAGAAAGGTTGTCTAGCCTCTCTTGGCTTAAAAGAGAATTATCCCCATGCTAATTCCTTTTTATTGCTGTTATTATCATTTTAACAGTATAACAATGAAAAAGATAAATTACCTTAAATGGGAAACCCTGATTTTATAAAATAAGAGCTAAGTAGGTGTCAGAGCCAAGGATTTGCACTGTGGAAGTACACTTATTAGAACTGAAGAAATGTACTCTGACCTGGGCACATGCAGCTGAGCTGTGAGAGCTCATAGCAGAGAGGGCCAGGCTGGAGTGTCCTGACACATCACTGCAGGCCCAGTCTGTGGGCCTGGGTGTCCTGTGGGCTTGCCGGGTCCGAGCAGGAGTCTCCTGCCTGATCTTGTGGCAGAGACCTTGGATGCACTGTTCCTGCTCACTTCTCTCCCTCCCTTGATTTCCATTATCCATCAATCCCAGTTCCCTTCTGACAGATCTTTTACACAGCTTTTATGACCGAAAACCGTGATGTGGGCGCAGGTGAAAATGTGTTCTTGGTTAGTAGGAAGGGGGTGCTTCATGGCTCCACAGCTTCCTGAAGAGGTGCTGCTCCAACTTCAGCAGTACAGACTATATCATGTATGGTGGGCTTCCTGGAGTAGGCTCTCTACACACAAAACAACCACTATTAGCATTTTGATTTATTTCCATCCCATCACTTGTTCATCACTTACTTTTAAAAACAGAGCTGTGGTCATACATGTACAGGTATGCCTAATTTTGTATCATATTTTTTATACTTATTGGCTTATCCTAAGCATTTTTCTACATTGCAAGGTCGTCAGATGTGCTAACTTTTAAAATGCGCTTCTTCCATAGATCTGCAACTACTCGGGACCTGCCAAGGTTATTGTTCAGTTGGTCACAAATGGAAAAAGCATCCACCTGCACGCACACAGCCTGGTGGGGAAGCACTGTGAGGACGGGATCTGCACCGTAATGGCTGGACCCAAGGACATGGTGGTCGGGTAAGTGGGGGAATGTGATGCCATGGAAAGTGGGAGCAGACAGAACATGGCACCCAAGACTTAGACCGAAAAGGCCCCTTTCATTGGGGGCCTTTCCAAGACCCTCAGAAGGCCTGAAAATGAAAATGCGTGCCCTCACTTAGATTCTGAGGCATAAGGCACCCACATGCCTGGCTCCCCTGAGACAGCCCAGTCTGCACCTGTGGTCCTGGCCTCATCACTATAGCACCCCCTTTCACTCTCAAAAGTAGCCCAGTTTGGATGATAAATTACATGGTCCCTTGACCTGTGATGCGTTTGTGCCGCTTTTCGCAATATTTTTCTTTTGGAAATAAAGACAGGAGCACATTAGAAAGAACATAATTATAGCAGAAACCAACTCCTTGTGAATGGTTTTATACTCTTGATGATTCCTTTAATGAGGTAACGACTCTGGATTTACAATGTGGACATTTTGAACAAGAGGTGGGTAGATAAATATTGTTTCAGTTTTGTGCTACTTGGGAAATGTGCACAGGTAAGAAGTCAAGGAATGCAACTTTGTTTTGGCATTCATTAGACTTGAAATGTAAATACAAAGTCACATATTCATCAGACAGATCCAACAATCAATTTTAAATGAAGGAAGTACTATAAAAATAAATTCAGTCCAGAAGCAGTAAGAACATTTGTATTGACTTAATTTCATTTTTAAAAATATCTTTCAGGGTTTCCTAACACTAGTTTAAATAGTTTATGATATAATCCCAGGTAATCTGAAAGGAATTGCTGAAATCAACTGTAATTAAACTGATGGTAGCATCTCAGGCTTTGAATTCCGATCAAGTTTCAAGTTCGTTGTTATTGGGGTTAGGCTTTCATGTTCCTAGGCATTTCTTTGTTTGACTGTGAAAATATTCAAGTGTGAAAACCCTAGAGAGAGAGAGCTTTCTTTTAAGTCACTAAAATCTGATTCTTTTGATGTTAGAAAAAAAAGACTCCAGATTGGAGGAAGAAGCTTAAATTGATTTGAAAAATTCAACCGTGCTTTATATAAACTTGTTTCAACATCCTCTTGAAAGACTGGCCTGTTTCCTGTTGTGTGTCACAGTTAGTTCATCGTCTGTTTTGGAATATCCTTCCAGTTCCTGACTGACCTGTGGGAGCTTTAAAATGCAGGGTAATCGTCAGAAGTTTAGACTAAGTGATCGCTTAGTGTTTCTGCGGACTTGCTCCAGTAGGCTGATGTCAGTTTGAAGTGTTATTCTCTTTGGTCCCGTTTAATCTGTGTGATGATCATATCCTTTGGAGGAAAATATAGATGAAGTTCCCTACTAATAATAGGTGTTACTATAAAACTTCAGTATGTTGTCTGTAATTTCGTGTCTCTGTGGTTTGGCTTAGTAATCTTTCAGGATTCTAGAAGGAACGGATGGTTATTTATTTGGGGGCCTATAGCAAGAGTTGAAGTCAATACCCTGCTTCCAAGGAAAGTGAGGAAATTCTTTACTCTTTTCAGTGCTGGAGTGTGGGGTTCAGTAGTTGGGAGAATGCATTCATTCACTCACTCATTCACTCATTCATTCATTCAACAAACATTTTGATCATCTAAGCTCTTAAATTTAATCATCAAGATTTCTGGTCATAGCGCTGTGGGATTTCATAGCCCAATTCAATTTCACTGAGAAATTTAATCAAGAGGATGCCGCTTGACAGTTACAATAGACTTTCTTATTCAGAGTGTTCTATGAAACATTGGTACTCCCTTTGTCATTTGATTTTTAACTGAGAAACTTTTGTTTGCAATGTTTTCCAAAAATGCAGTATTTCCCCCATGATTCATTTCTCTCTCTCTCTCTCTCTCTCTTTAAGTTTCTAATGTCAGAACATGTTGCAGTAGGAAAAAATATCATGCTAATAGTCTGGAAGCCAGAATTCTATTTCCATTTCTGTCACTCTCAGAACTGGGGACGATTTGCATGACTTCTTGAGGGCTTTAATTTCTTCCCTTCAAAAATGTGAGTGGAGCTACAAAATTCATCTCCAGGCCCTTTACATCTCCATAATTCTAGACTGAACTGACATCAGCTAATGTTATGAAACAACATGAGCAGACTTGCCACATATGTATTTATGGTATGTCATCGATTATTATGTAGTTCTAACTTGTAGGTAAGAAGAGCACAGAGAGAAATTTAGGAAGATAGCCAGCATTATTCCTTAGACTTGTCAATACTAGAAATGGAACCAAGATAACCTGTTTTCAATAGTATAGCTTAAGCTAAGAGTACCATATAGATTTACAAGCAGGGCACTGATCCAACACATCAAAAAGTTACATTAAAAAAAAAGAAAGAAAGAAAACAAGAAGATAAATAACCTTTAAATTATTAAAACCAAAATAACTACCTTTCTTTGGGGTTCTCAGTGAAATTTAGTTTCTGTTTTCAGAGATATTTTATCTATATTAAAATATTCATAATTGTGGGTTTGATTGCTTTAACTTGAGATATTTGCCCTTTTAATGTGTTTTAGTTACCTTTCTTGTCTTTATATTTCTTATTCATTTATTTAGTTAGCCTTTAGTGCTGGTCCTCATAAATATAATCTTAGTGTGGTATTATATTTTTGACCCTGAATATTAACTATGTGTTTCAACAACATTTTTGTCCTCTGACATTTTCAGGCAATGGAAACTGTTCTTTGCCTTTGCCTTAAGCCACCATCCTTACCAATAATTACCACACCCTCTGTTTGCTTCCTGGTAACCCTGATTTAGAGAGACATGAAGTCTTTTTTTTTTAACTATAATTTATGGCATATACTAATTATTAAGCACTAGAAGTAGATATATAAATTTTTTTTTAATCCTCACCCGAGGACATTTTTTCATTTTTTGTTCAGATAGAGTGGGAGGGAGAGAGAGAGAAACATCGACGTGAAAGGTACACATCGAATGGCCGCCACCCACATGACCCAACCAGGGCCAGGGACAAACTGCATCCGAGGTACATGCCCTTAGTGGGAACTGAACCCGGGACTCTCTGGTCCATGGGCCGACGCTCTAACCACTGAGCCAAACTGGCCAGGGCTAGATATATCATTTTTAAAAATACAAAAAAAGGACGTGGCCTCCCTCAAGGAGCTATTGTAGACCATATTAAATTGTAGTTTTTGAGGATCCAAAAACAATTGATTATTGGCAATTTCATGTGGGTTAGCCTTAATACACACAAAAGGAGTGTTTGGAGAGAACAGACAAAGTATGGACTGCGATTGTAAGTATCCAACTTCCAAACTGGGTGTGAGTCGGAGGTTGCTGCTTCTTTATATGTACAAACTTAAAATTCTTGTGGGCCAGAGAAACTGTGAACAGTGTTAAAGTGGCAAGATACACACACGCTTTACACTGGAAGAAATTGTAAATCTCAAGTCCAAAAAAAAAAAAAAGATTTATATCCAGAATATATAAAGAACTCTCGAAAACCAGCAGTAGGAAACTAAACAACCCACTTTTTTGATGGACAAATGACTTTACAGACACTCTTTTTGGGCTGCTTTCACTCTTGTGCTAGGTCTGAAGTCTGTGTTTGAGCCCTCAGAGAAATAAGGGGCAGGGGGAGGGAGGACTTGAACATCCCAACCCAGTGACACCGAGCTCAAACCTACCCAGAGGGCAGCGGCAGGCCCCAGCTGAGGAGGAGGATGGAAACATCTGGCCCGGTGCAGAGGATTTCAAACCTAGCTACTAATTAAAGTCACCTCTGGTCACGTAATAAAAATACTGATGCCAGCCCTATTCCTGGAGAGGCTGATCTCATTGGTCTCACGGAGTGTAGAGCAGTGGTTCTCACCTTTTAGGGTGATCGAGAATCTCCCCAAGGAGTTATTGAAACACAGATTGTTTCTGATTCAGTAGGTTTGGTATAGGGCTCAAGAATGTACATGCTATGAAGTTCGGAGTAGCGCTGCTGAGACTTCTCTTTGAAAACCACTGGTGTGAAAGAACATAGTATTTTGAGTGAGAAACTGGATTGTAGCCTGCGTCTTAGTATTAGCTGTGATAACCTTTCTTTTTTTATTTTTGTCAGGTTTTATTGAAGTATAATTCTTTTTTTTTTTTTGGTACGTGCCCCTAGTGGGAACCGAACCCTGACTCTCTGGTCTGCAGGCCGACGCTCCAACCGCTGAGCCAAACCGGCCAGGGCTGAAGTATAATTTAAATACTGTAATATTCACCTTGAAAAGTGAACAGTTCTATGAGCTTTGACAAATATTCAAGATATAGAACAGTTCCATCACCCCCCAAAGTCCCTGTGTGCCCCTTTGGAGTCAACCCCTCCTCTCACTCCAGACCCTGACAACCCCTGACCTAATTTCTAGCCCTATAGTTTTGCCTTTCCAGAGGACATACAGATGGAATCATACAACATGTAGCATTTTTAAATCTGTCTTCTATCACTTTGCATAATGCATTTGAGATTTCTCCAGGTTGATGTGTATATCAGGAGCTTATTTCTTTTAATTACTGACTGGTATTGCATTGTATTGAAGTATCACAGTTTTTGTGTATCCATCTACCTGTTGAAGAACATTTGCTTTGTTTCTAGTTTTTGTTGGCAAAACCACTTTTGTGTGAACATAAGTTTTTATTTTTCTTGGGTTTGGAGTAAATACTGAGTGAAATTTTAGGGATGCATACTAAGGGTACATTTATGCTGATAAAAAACTGCCACATTGTTTTCCAAAGTGGCTGTGCCGTTTTGTACCCCATGTGTTAAACATTTACGATGCTCAAGTTTTTTGTTGTTGTTGCATGGCTAATGATAGTATCTGCTCTCATTTTCCATTACATTTTTTTTTCATCCTTACCTGAGGACTTTTTTTTTTTTTTTTGCATTTATCTTCAGATAGAGCAGGAGGGAGGGAGGGAGGAAGAGAGAGAGAGAAATATCGACCTGAGAGGGACACATCGACTGATCACCACCCACATGACCCCAACCGGGGCCAGGGACGAACCACAACTGAGGTACATGCCCTTAGCGGAAACCGAACCCGGGATTCTCTGGTCCAGCAGGCCGATGCTCTAACCACTGAGCAAAACTGGCCAGGGCCGTTACGTTTTATTATAAAAATTTTCAAACATATACAAAAGTAGAAAGAATACAATTAAACTATTCTTTATATCCCAATGCACCTACCCATCACCCAGCTTTAACAATTATTACATAGCCAATCTTAATATGAATATATTCCTATCTAGATATCTTTCAGTTATTGATGTCTGATTTAGGGTCGATGTTGTAAGAGAATACTTGGTATGATTTGAATACTTTTCAATTTATTGAGACTTGTTTTATGGATCAGATTATGGTCTGTCTTGATAAAGGTTTATGGGCATTTAAAAATAATGATTAGTCTGATCAAGTTGAATAAATGTTCTGTAAGTGTCAATAGGTCAAGTTGTTTGATAGTATTGTTTCAGTCTTCTATATCCTTAGTAATTTTCTCTCTACTTGTTCTATCAATTAGTGAGAGAAGTTTTTGACATCTCTGACTATATTTATAGATATACCTAGTTCCCCTTTCAGTTCTGTAAGATTTTGCTGCTTAGTCCAGCCGGTGTGGCTCAGTGGTTGAGCTCTGACCCATGCACCAAGAGGTCGCTGGTCAGGACACATGCCAAGGTTGTGGGTCTGATCCCCAGTTGGGGGCATGCAGGACGCGACCAGTCAATGTTCTCTCTCATCACTGTTTCTCTCTCTCTCTCTCTCTCTCTCTCCCTCCCTCCCTCCCTCCCTTCCTCGCTCTCAAATCAATAAAGAAAAAAAAATTAAAGATTTTGCTACTTATATTGTGAAGCTCTTTTCTTAGATACATGAACATTTAGGATTTGTATGCCCTCTTAATGTATCAATCCCTTTTCCATTATGAAATGACCCTTTTTTATTCCCGGTAATATTCATCCTGATGATTTATGTTGTTACAAGATTTCCTGAACCACTCCAGCCCTGTGTGTTCTCCAGGAATGGTTTCCCTGCCCCTTTCTGGTGGTTCTTTTTCCAGCCTTGAGTCGTGTCCTCACATGCATGCTCTCATAGTACTCGGCTGAGAACTCAAGGTAGAGTTGCTGTATATTTCAGAGTGTCTCTCTGTATGTGGTTCTTTTCTCTCTGGTGCTCTGCTTGTGAATTCTCGCCTCCTTGGCCTCTTCAAATTTTTAACTCTGTCTCCTCCACTCAGGGAGCTCGCCAGGTCCTGTTTGGGATCCCTCTTTCTAAGGTGCAGCCTAGAAACTCTAAGTAGTAAGCCAGCAAAACTGTAGGATTCATCGTATTTGTTTTCCTTTTCTTGAGAATCACTGTCTTGTGCTGCCTATTGTCCAGTGTCTTAAAATGATTTTTCTCGTGTGTTTTTTGTTGTTGTTGTTGAAGGTGAAAGGTTTAATTTGGTCTCATACTCCATCATTACTTGAATATGAAGACTTAATCCTATATTGTTTCATTTACTAACAGAGTAAATTCACTATTCACATAATGAATAATGAAGATATTACCTTTTCCACAGGGATTAAATTAAAGACTAGACATGAAAAGGACTTTATAGATGAGAAAGTGTGAAGTGCTACAAAGATGTTTGTCATTGCCATTACCTGTGAGAATACCTCGTTTTCCCACAGCTGTGGATGTTCTGTATAGAAGTAAGGCTTAAAGGGCCAGAAGATGAAGATTTGGTTTCTGGAAAATTGCCTGTGCCTCCTTGCTGTATGCCATGCTGCCTGTTTCTCTGTGCTGTATGAATTCATGCGTTCATTGATTCAGCAGATGTGTATAAGGCACCCCGTGTTCTAGGTACTGGAGAACTGTGCCCTCAAGGAGCTTAATTCTCTCAGTATATTTTCTTCTCTGTGTATGTCACTGCGATCCCACTTTTTTCTGTCACTGTCTGGACATGTGTATTGTTCCGCCTGTGGGCCTCTGTATGAGGGCTCATCTAATTCTGCCTTCAGTCTTATATTTTCTTTCCATAGTTTATCTGGTCTTCTCACATTATTATAGTCTTTGTTTCATTCAATCCAGTTGTAGTATTTCTTTCTTTTTTTGTTATGTTTTTATCGATTTCTTGGAGAGAGAGATAGAAACATTGATGTGAGAGAGAAACATAGATTGGCTGCCTCCTGCACGCCCCCTACTGGGGATCGAGCCCACAACCTGGGCATGTGCCCTGACAGGAATCAAACCAGAACCTCTCAGTCCATGGGATGGCACTCGATCCACTGGGCCACACTGGTTGGCCAGTTGTCATATTCTATCTTTCCTCTACTAATCTTTCTTTTTCCTTTTGGGTGAAAGCCAGAGTAAAACGAAAGTCCTTACAAAGCTTACAAGGCTTTAAAAGATCTATGCCGCTATGTACCTCTTTGAACTCCTGACCCTTCTTCCTTTTCCTCTGGCTCCCTCAGCCTCCTTGCCATTGTTGTCTTTAGAAAACACCAGCATGCCCCTGGCTCAGGGTGTTTGCACTTGCTGTGCCTCCTCCTGGAATGCTTGACTTCCACACGGCCACGCCGCTCCCCACTTCCTTCACAGCTGCCTGTGTCGTCTCCTCCATGGGGCCCTTTCTGCCTCTCCCTGTTTTAAAGCGCCATGCCTTCTCCAGCCCTTCCCTTCCCCATTCCTCCCTGATTGTTCTTGGTAACACTTACTGTCTTCCGAATGATACTGTAAAATCTGCTTCATTCCCTCTCTGTGGCTGCACCTGCGTATAAATTCTCTGACGCGAGGGGTTCCTTCGCTACCAACAGGAGCAACAGGGCCCTGCCCGCACTAATGGGAGCTGAATAAATATTTATTGAAGAACTGCGTCTCCTGGTGAATTGCTTTTTTGCTTGTTTGTTTGTTGTATTACATTTATGAAATATACTTATTTGTTTCATGTACTTTTTAAAAAAAAATAAGTGGTTGGACCGTTTTATATATTTTTTTAAAAATCCCTTAAATTGCCTTAAGTTTTTAACATATTTTGCTCTATAGGTAGGTAGCCTTCACAAGATAAAAGATTCTCTGTCCCGATTATAGGTACACCTTCAGGCATGAGTCCATGTAGAATTAGAAAACATTCTAGTAGTAATAAATAACTTCAACCTTATAGATAACCCAGGAGGAGATAGAATTCCTGAAAGGGGCACCCCAAACAGGACCTAGACTTTAAATCCCATCCAGAAACTCGAGGATAATCCAAAATAAAAAAATAAAAAATAAAAAAATCAAAGAAAGAAAAATCCTTAGCAATACAATATACCTTTTATTCTGAGAAAAGTTGGTACTATATTTGGAATTCAAATATTTTTATACTTTAAAATGAGTCCATGTAAAACTTTCTATTAAGTTATATATACATATCTACCCCACTCCCTTAATCATAATTTGAAAGTCTAATAAGCTCTGAAAACCAAAAGATTTTGCTAAATTTACCATAGACTCCTTTGGTGGAAAAACCCAATCTGCCCTGATGTGCAGCTGGTTGTAATCTTTATTTTTTATTTGTTTACGTGTTTCCCAGCAGAAATAGTAATGTGTTTGATTATGGTGTGGGCCTCAGTGCTGGAGGACCTGTGTTTGTTTGTTTCATTCTTTTTGTTCAAGTGAAACTGTACTCTGTAGTCATTGACGGCCAACTTTTCCTTGTTGTTGCTGCTGTTTCTTCTCCAGCTTTGCAAACCTGGGTATACTTCATGTGACAAAGAAAAAAGTATTTGAAACACTGGAAGCACGAATGACAGAGGCATGTATAAGGGGCTATAATCCCGGACTTTTGGTGCATCCTGATCTTGCCTATTTGCAAGCAGAAGGTGGAGGAGACCGGCAGCTCACAGGTGAGTGTCCCTCTCCCATCCTTGCTTTTTTTCTCTCTTTTGTTCATATACATTTTATTTTTATTTAATTTATCTTTATTGTTGAAAGTATTACAGCTGCCCCCCCCTTTTCCCCATTGACCTCCTCCCCACTCCGCCACCCCCGCCTTCCCCACACTGTTGTCTGTGTCCATTGGTTATGCATATATGCATATAAGTTCTTGGGTTGATCTCTCCTTGCTTTGCTGAGAGCTCAGGCTCTCATTTTCTCACGTGTAAACTACGTGCTCATCTGTAGGCCCCAGGTTTCTGTTTCTTCCAATCTGTACCCCAAGCTGCTCCCACTCTTTTCCTGCTCAGAAACCTTTGGTGACATCCTGCTACCTTTGGAATAAAATCTCTACGTCCATAGTCTGGCATACAAAGCCCTCCCAGTCTGGCCTCAGTCACCTTTCTGGCCTCATCTTCAGTCCCACCCTGCCCCGCCTCTGCCCACCACTGCCCCCTGGACATCTCATGCATCTCCATACCTTCGTATGTGTATTTCTCTACTTAATACACCCTACCTTTCCCTTTCCAACCTGTCAAAACCAATTCGTAATTGAAGACTTAGTTCAAAAACAATTCCCCTGTTATATCTCTCCCAGCTCACACTCTTACAAGGAATCTTTCTTTCCTTGGGCTATTCAGGCACATTATGAACTATTGTCTTTGTCATAAAAATGCTACGATTTTATTTTTTCCTGCCTTTACTCATATCTTTTCTTTTAACCCCAAACCTTGCCCCACCACCTGCACCATTTCTGCTTTTTATTTTTTTATTTTTTTCCTTTTATTGATTTTAGAGAGAGAGGAAGGGAGAGGGGGAGAGAGAGAGAAACATCGATGAGAGAGAACATCGATTGGCCGCCTCCTGCATGCCCCCCACTGGGGATCAGGCCCACAACCTGGGCATGTGTCCTGACCAGGAATCGAACCAGTGACCTCTTGGTGCAAGGGGTGATGCTCAACCACTGAGCCACACCAGCCAGACCATTTCTGCTTTTCTATGTTCTCCTTTAGTCTGGCCACCCTGTCAACAGCTCCCATGCAGGTGATCCAAAGCCAATCATCACTTTCCCCTAAACGTGTTCCCTCTTCTGAAATCCAGACTCTAAACCCCCTTGCCATCGTTGGCTCCTCCCCTGCCCTTGCGTGTGTCCAGCTGGGGGTCCAGCTCTGCTGCACTGTCTCTGAGTCCCCGCTCCTCACTCCACTTGGCTGTCTGTCTCTGTCCCCCTCATTCTAATCCAGTTTACACCCTACAGCCAGTTGGTTCTTACTAAGGCCTGCATCTCATCTCTGCTGAATGTCTTCCCAATGCCTACAAAATCCGAATTGGGAAGCTGGCATTTTAGGCCTCACAAGAGCTGGGCCCAGTCTGCATTTTCAGCTCTTTTCCCCAGCTCTGTCATCCCCCTTTATGACAAACTGGATTACTGCACAGAAGCACCATAGTTTCTCACTTCCTCACCTTGGCACACCCTTCCAGACCTGCTCTCCCCACTTTCTGGAATGCCCTCATTCACCCTCTTCATAAGTGCAAGTTCTGCTGTCTCTTCAAGATGCAGAGCAAGTGTCTCTTCTGCTCCGAAGCCTTTGGGTTCTCCCCTCCTTCGAAATTCCACGTCACTTCATCTGGAGCTCTTGGGCAGTACTTGTCACCTGAGTTATCATCCGGAGTCATTCAGTTCCTTCAGAAGTATTTCTGAGTACCTACTATGTGCTGAGGAGGGTGGAAGGCACTGCGGAATGAACAGACTCCGTGCTCGGATAGCTTTTGGAACACTTACTCTTCACAGCTCGCGGCACAGCTGATGCACAGCCGCCTCACTGCGCCCCTTCCATCACGCTCCGTACCTTCGACTCTTAACGTAGGGAGAACAGGGAGAGTTCGGGAACGACAGGAAGAGCGAGAGGCACTTTGATAGGCAGGGCGCAGTTTTTCCTGTAATCCGGAGAAAATGCAGGTCTTTTGATGGTTTTAATTTTGGATGGCATATATGGGGTAAATTTTAAAGTTTTATAAGCAACATGAAGAATAAAAGCAACGATTTTTACTTCAAGTTTATGTTATTTGGGCTTTAGAAAAGCATCCTATCTGAAATGTTCACACTTCACTCTTGCCCTGTGCTGAATGGTCGTAGATCGGGAAAAGGAGATCATCCGCCAGGCAGCTCTTCAGCAGACAAAGGAGATGGACCTCAGCGTGGTGCGGCTCATGTTTACAGCTTTCCTCCCAGACAGCACCGGGAGCTTCACCAGGCGCCTGGAACCCGTGGTATCAGACGCCATCTACGACAGCAGTGAGTACTTGCCTCCTCATGGGAGGCAGCTCCAGATAATGTCAAGAACAGACTTGCAACCTGCTCTGGCAGGCAGTTACTGGCTCTGAGCCCCGGGGCAAGACATTAATCACTTGGAGCCTCATGTTTATTATCTACAAAATGGGAATATTAAAATCTAATACAAAAAGTTGATGTCTAGCCCGGTTTGGCTCAGCGGCTGGAGCACTGGCCTGCAGACCAGAGAGTCCTGGATTCAGTTCCCGCTAGGGGCACTACCAAAAAAAAGAAAGAAAGAAAAGTTGATGTCTAGATTAAAAGTGAAATGTTATAAGGTGCTCAATAGGTGTAATTCTTTTTCCTCAGATGTTTATTTTAGTCTTTTACATCCAGTGCCAAATCTCTCACTCCTTAAGAGTGCCTTACGATAAGGAGGTCGCATTGGTGCTCCTAGATGAGAGACGCATCTCCATTCTTTTCATTGGGAGCCTGATGAGAAGTTAATAAAAGACAGCTATTATTCTTAGTCACCTCCATTCTCGCATGTGAGAGCTTCATCAACTTCAGGTTAACTGAGGGAGCAGCACAGATCATGTGTGACCTCAAAATTCTGTTTTAGTCTGTAGTTCCTAGAATGTTTAGAATTTTATAATGGCCTTAAATTAAATGTAGACATGCATAGTAACATTTTTGGTATGGGTGACATTTGTTAAACAGATTGTTCCAGAAAGCCTGCAAGTGGAGTACTTCGGTTCATTGACAGTTTATAGGGTTTGGTCTAAGTAGGAAATTCCAGGTTCCAAGTACAACAACTAACAGCTTTCTCTAATTTAAACAAGTTTGAAAGGAAGTGAAAGAATTATAAAATGATATAGACTCACATATTAAAGATCACCATAAAATGCAGCTGTTGGGGGAAAAAAAAAAAAAAAAAAGGAAGCTTTATACTATTACCACACAAAAATTTTGCCCCTAACCACACAGAATTCTAATTTAGTTTGGGGAAAAGAAATATAACATCTCCACTTTTTCTTTTCTGTAAAATAAAAATTAGTAAATAGTTTAAGAAAATTATGCTTCTCCTACATTTCTAGGACTCTTGTATATGGTATGTCAGTATCATGGAAATGAGCTTGAGTTTAAGTCTTGACCTAATTGAAATCCTACCAACTCATTGGCTTGGTATCTTCCAGAATAAAAGCTCTTTCTTTCTGTATTAATCCCTTTTTCTATGTTAGTGGGAGAAGCAAAGATTGCTCCTATCTGCCTCATCTGCCCAGGAGTGCTCTGAGGATTTCAGAAGGCATTTTTGTATTATTTGTAACCTTGTTAAAACAATATGAGTGAGCCCAGCTGGTATGGCTCAGCGGTTGAGCGTTGGTTCCTAGTCCCGGGTTGCCGGCTCGATCCCCAGTAGGGGGCGTGCAGGAGGCAGCCAATCAATGTTTCTCTCTCATTTATATTTTTCTCTCTCTCTCCTCTCTCTTCCTCTCTCTCAAAATCAATAAAACATTTAAAAAAATTTTTTTAAACAATATGAACGAAAGCATTTATTTAAACTTTCTTTTGGTTAATGTGTGCTAAGGGCAGGATCCCTCATAAGAGATTGGCTTGTGAAGCTGAGGATAAACCAGGATATTTGTTCTTTCTCTCCTGTGGACAGAAGCCCCCAACGCGTCCAACTTGAAAATTGTACGAATGGACAGGACAGCTGGATGCGTCACTGGAGGGGAAGAAATTTATCTTCTCTGTGACAAGGTTCAGAAAGGTAAATATATGCTTTGATCTCAAGATGTAAAATATTTTTAGTGTGTCTGTGAGTCACTTTTTGACGGTGGACCCAGTAATATCCCTTTGAAATGTATACATTTCACCTTTCCAAATGTATCTGTTATTTTTTTTTAACCCATTTAAAAATCATTTAAAATTTTTTGACAGAAGTAAAGAAAAATTCTGAAATGGTGGTCATCAGTGATATTTCAGTGTTTTTATACTCTGAAGTTTGGTATCTGAGCTTAATTAAACTAAGGTAAATGAGTAGATAGCCCGTGCTTCAAACACACACACACACACACTAAATAATGTTTGTGTGTGTTAGGTGTCGTTGAGTCGGCTCTGACTCCCGGCTGAACTATGAATGAGTGCTGTCCACAATGTCCTGTCCTCAACCGCCCCGCTCAGCTCCTGGAGACTCATGCCTATGGCTTCTTGTGTGGAGTCAACCCATCTCACGTTTGGTCTTCCTCTTTTCCTGTTGCCATCTGTTTTTCCCAACATTGTTGTCTTTTCCAAAGAATCCTGCCTTCTCGTGAGGTCCCAAAGCAAGACAGCTTCAGTTTTGTCATTTTCGTCTCCAGCAATGTCACAGGCTTAATGTGCTGAAGACCCGCTTATTCCTCTAAAGTTTTACATAGTATGAAATTGCTTATTGTGTTTATCTTACAATGCTTTGTTGCAACACTGAGCTTTTCCAGATACTTTCACAGGACGTTGTGATGTCAGCTAAGAAAAAGAAAGAGAATAAGGATTATAGGGAAATTCTCAGAGCATATTTCTCCCATAATTTTGACTTTCAGAAAAGGTTCTTGGCATTCATCTCATTAAATACAGTACAAGATTGATAAATTAACAAATGCTGAAGGAGATGGCGTTATTCGCTCAAACGTCACTCATTTCTAAAATGAAAGTATGGGAAGTATAGTATAATAAAGATCTGTTCACTACAAATTGATGAGCATTCTCAAAGTAAGCAGATACATAACTGGAAATATAGCCCTTATATTAAAGAAGTGTGGCTTTTAAAAAAATTATCATTTGACATAAATGCTGTGAGATAAAAGGTCAGAAAAAATAGGATCAGATTTTACGGTGAAGATATATATCTTTATCTAAAAAAAATTTACACTTTCTCTGCTTATCCTGATATCAACCTTCATTTAGCCCATTCTGTCCAAGTAATAGCATTTCCATGTTCCTGGGCAAGCCAGAGAGATGCCAACCCGAGTTAGTGTCATATTTCTGCAAAAGTAAAATCCACAACTGAAGTGTAAAATTTAGGCATTCTAATTTAATCTGAACAGACTTGACCAACTTAATATTTTTAACAGTTTTCCAATGAGGATTAATAAAGTATTATAGTGAGGCAGCATAGTAGAATGTTTAAGTCAGAAACTATACTCTCTGTGTCTGAATCCTGGCTTCTCCATTTACTACTGTTCAACATTGGATAAGTTACTTAACCTCTCTATACTCGTTTCTCTTCTGCAAAATGAAGATATTAATAGCACACCTGCATTACAAAGTTATTATGAGGATTAAATCTGTTAATATATACATACAAGTCACTTAGAACTGTGTCTGCCACATAATAAATTTTATATAAGTTAAATATTATTATGTAAATCTATATAGAGTTAAACCACATTTTGTGATTCTGATTCCTCACCATTCTTAGGAGTGCATTGGTTTAAAGATGGAGAAATAGGAAGGTCAAAGATAGATTAAGAGAAAACTCAAATTAAATGGGTAAATCTGTCATTGTAAATGAAACTTGGGTCCCATTACTGTGATAAATAATAAAAAGTTAAGTGATTTGTGACATTTTTAAATTATTCAAAAGTCAATTGCATGTTAATTACTTTCAAACATTTAAGTATATAATAGGTAGAATCTTGAACCAACCTTTTTTTATCATGTTCATAAACAGTATTACACTTTGTGCAATTACACACCTGACTGTAACTGTTTGCAGATGACATCCAGATTCGATTTTATGAAGAGGAGGAAAATGGTGGAATCTGGGAAGGATTTGGAGATTTTTCCCCTACAGACGTTCACAGACAAGTAAGTAGATGACGACGACAATGATGATGATGATAATAATGATAATTTTACTTTTTCTGCCTTATTGAAATTTAGTTCTTAGTTTCCATACATGAAAAAGGAAACATTATAAATATTTATTTACTTAAAAGAGTACTATTTTTAAGACTTTTATAGGCCATTCAGAAAAGTCACTTATCATAGAATTATGGGCAAGGTTCTATAACAATAAATTGGGTGGATTAAACAACAGAAATTTTTTTTCTCACAGTTCTGGAGCTATACTATCCAGATCAAAGTGTGACAGAGTTGGTTGGTTTCTGGTGAGGGCTCTCTTCCTGGCTTTCAGATGGCTGCCTTCTTGCTATGTCCACTCGTGATAGAGAGAATAAGCTCTCTTCTTCTCATTTTTTGTTGTTGTTGTTGTTAATCCTCACCCAAGAATATTTTTTCATTGATTTTTAGGGAGTGGAGTGGAGGGGGGGAGACAAGAGAGAGAGAGAAACACCCTGTGAGAGAAACACATTAATTGCTTGCCTCCCTCACATGCCTCAGCCAGGACCAGGGATCAAACCTGCAACCCAGGTACATGCCCTTGACCAGGAATCAAACCTGAAACCCTTCATTTTACAGGCTGATGCTCTAACCGTTCATCAACACCAGCAAAGGCTTGTGTCTCTTTTTATAAGGACACTAATCCTATCCATCAGGGCCCCGCCCTTATGACCTCATTTAACCTTAATTATATCCATAAAGGCCTTATATCCGAGTGCAGCTACATTAGTGGTTAGGACTTCAACATTTGAATTTGGGCAAACACAATCGGTTTATAACAATGTTCTACTGGGAAAATTATGGTGAAACCTGTTACAAGGGTATTCTAATAAAAAGTGTTGAAAGGAAGAGTCTTCTAGTTGAGGCTAATGTCATTATGATAAATCAAGATTTCCCAGTGACAACTGAGTATATAACTAAGAGATGAAAATGATAAATTCCCATCTTAATGATTACCCTGAGTGACTGGGGAATACTATTTTCACACACACACAAATTGGAAACAATCCAAATATCCATCAATAAGTGGCCAATTAAATAAATTACACTGGCCCTGGCTGGTTTGGCTCAGCGGTTAGAGCATCAGCCTGCGGTCCTGAGAGACCAGGGTTTGGTTCCTGCTAGGGGCCCGTACCTCGGTTGCAGTTTGTCCCCGGCCCTGGTTGGGTCGTGTGGGTGGCAGCCACTCGATGTGTCCCTTTCACGTCGATGTATCTCTCTCTCTCTCTCAACCCCTCCCACTCTATCTGAAAAAAATATTGAAAGAAAGTCCTCAGGTGAGGATTAAAAAATAAATAACGTATCTATGTGATGGAATATTATGTATTATTTAAAAGAATGTGTACTGTATGAACTAATATAGAAAGTCTCAAAGATACAAAATTAAAAATGCTTTAAAGACATATATAAAACAGTATATGTTTAAAAGATTCTGTGTTCCTATTGCACATCCCTAAAGAAACTCTGGAAGAATTCAAGAGAAATTAATAAATCATCTGTGTTTACCTCTGGGGGTTGAGGAACAAGGAAACAGTAAGAATTGCCTAGATAGGGGACAGGAATGGCAAGAAGAAATTTGTATTTATGCCATTATATACCTTTTTATATTTTACAAAATCTTTATACCTGTGAATACATTACATAGTCAAAAGATCAAACTATAAAAAAATATAAGCATGTCAGAGGTGTTACAGAATTCCCTGTATATGTCTAGAGCTTTGACCATTCTTACCTCAAAATAAACTGACTCTGTGATAATGTCTTCCTTGCAGGATTTAGTTTCCTCTCCTCATCAACAGGCCTGTAGACAGATAGTAGTACCACCTTCTTTGTCTACCTCTCCCCACAACCAATGTTGCTGCAAATAATCTTGGAGGTTTTGAAGGCTGACTTGAAAGAGGAGGTGTATGCAGTGTATTTTTTTCACATGATTATTTACAATTGAAGACATAAATTATTAGATAAGTCAAATAATAAAGATTTGCACTACATTGGCACAGTCTTGCTTCAGTTTCGCAGTGGCAATCTAGTTAAAATGTGTGGGTATAGAATTCTGAGTTTGGAAGTTTCTCAAGGGTACTGTATTTTCTTTCTTCACAGTGTATCTAAACATTGTGCATAAGCAATGTGTTTAATGAGTAGCATTGCTGGAAAAAATATGTAGTCCTACCCTAACATTTAGATCTTTGTGTCCTGCAGTTTGCCATCGTCTTCAAAACACCAAAGTATAAAGACATCAACATTACCAAACCAGCCTCTGTGTTTGTCCAACTACGGAGGAAATCTGATTTGGAAACTAGTGAACCAAAACCTTTTCTCTACTACCCTGAAATCAAAGGTAACTCGGTTGTTTATACTCTTGCTCTTGTTTCATAAGAAGACAAACTTACTAGAAAATATCAGTTAGCCACCTCCTTTGAACAGCTTCCTAGTAACTGGCCCCTGGATCCATGGTACTTACTTTTAGAGAAGAGAGAAGTTAATATACTATTTTTGGGTCATGGAATTAAGTCTAACCTTTAAAAATAATGTTATTTTCACCAAGTTTGTATGAGACTTAGACATTAGAGAATTTGGAACTATCATGTATTGAGTAATGCAGGGTTCAGGCAGTAAAGAAAACAAGATAAGGTTGCTGTGCAAGAGAGTCAGCCACTCTACTCATGGGCCTCAGGCCGGGGAACAGAAGACCCAGCCCCATGCTGTGTGGAACTATAAAAATGAGTAAGGCACCATTCTTTTTCTCACTAAAGACACACCAAGAAGGGGAGATAAGAGTCCCCTTAAATTGTTATAATGTGAATTGATAAGGTCCAGAAATGAAGTGTCCACAAATACATATGAGAATTAGCTTAAGAAGGAGAGCTTTCGCTTCTAAAGCCATCTAGAAGAAGCCTTCTACAAGGTCCTTAAAATTGGGAATATACTTCAGTATTTGGGTGTGAAAAGAAAAGGAGAAAGGGTTTCCTAGCCTTCAGAAGCGTGAGGAGCTAGAAGAGTTTGTGTTTGTTCCGCGAAGAGTGAGCATTGTGAACATTGAGATGGACTCCTGAGGCCAAGGCAGAGCAGGAAGGCCAGGCCGGACTCTGAAGTGCTAGGAGTGGCAGCTAAAGAATTTCCCACTGATTCTGGAAAGGGGGATGACCAGGCCTGTGTGAATTTGGAATGATGGCTCTGACTTTTTTATGTAAATACTGAGAAGACTATCTGGGCAGCAGACAGTGAGTCAGAAGAGTAATGCAAGAATCCAAGTGAGCAATGCTGAGGTTATTAATGGTATTAGTTCAAAGAATGAAAGGAGAAGGTGGATGCAAAAGGTAGTTCAGTGATGGTGTCAGGAAGACCCAGATGCTGGCTGAGGTAGGAGGCGAGGGAGTAATTCAGAAGTCATAGATAGTTCAGAAGCCTAGGAAGTCTGTGATGTGGTTGAGTTGATGAAAGAATCAGGGAAGCAAAAGTAGGTTTGGGTGGGCAGAGAGGGAACTCAGTTAAAAATATATTGCACTTTAGGTTCTTGTGGCAAATTCCTAATAGGCCAATCAAAAGGAAGGAGTGGAACTCAAGAGAGGGCTGGGTGGGAAATTCAGCATTGAGAATGCTCTCAGAATGCACGTAAAGGGTATTACTTTTCCTGGTGCCCACTGACCCCCTCAGGGTCCATAGATCGAAATGTACTTTAATATAGTTGGCTTTTTTGTAATCCTATTTTGTATTTTACATATTGAAAACTGTGCGATTCTAAGAAGGGATCCAAAGTCTTCACAGACCTCACAATGGGCCATGGCACAAACAAAATTGGAAACCCCTGCTGTAGAGGGGCGTGAGACTAGAGAGGAGTTCAGTAAATGAGTGTCACAGGGCACACAGGTGCTGGCCGAGGTTGGCCCTCACGAAGGTGCCTTAGCAACAATCCACACGTGTGTTGGATCCTGTGCTAGCAACGTGATGGGTAGTTTTAAGGAGGACTTTCTTTTCCTAGAATGCATGTCGTGGCCAGAGCATTTGCTGCTTCATGAGCTCTTGTTTCTTTTCTGAGGCTGTGACCTCTCCACCGACAAGTCCGATTTATATGCATTCCATGACTGGTGGCTTCAAAACATCACAGCAGAGGCACCTTTGTTTCCCTCTGCGTGAAATTCCATGCACAGTCCCAGCGTAGAAGCCTGATAGGCTCTGGTTGAAATAGAGGTAGAGAGCTCTGCCCACCTCCTTTCCCAGAAGCGCTCTCGCCTGAGGTCTGAATGCTTCAGTCTGCGTAAAATTTGAAAATTGCTGCTTTGGATTTAACATCCTTCTTTAAAAGTAGGCAAAGTTTTTGGACTGACTAAGGAAAAAAAGTAAATTTCTTGTCCTGAAATGTCTTCAAAATAATGTCCATTTTTCTAACCCAGAATCTTGTTTTAAAAGGAAACCCAGATATGTATGAGCTGAGCTTGGTTTCTAGTCTGCATGTCTACCTTTCTCGGTGGTATCTGTGCATCAAGAGAATGTGATACACCCTGGCCGGTTTAGCTCAGCGGTTAGAGTGTTGGCCCATGGACCAGAGAGTCTCGGGTTTGGTTCCCACTAAGGGCACGTACCTCGGTTGCAGTTTGTCCCCGGGCCTGGTTGGGGTCATGTGGGTGGTGACCAGTCGATGTGTCTCTCTCACGTCGATGTTTCTCTCTCTCTCTTCTTTCTTTCCCTCCCACTGTATCTCAAGATAAATGCAAAAATGTCCTCGGGTGAGGATAAAAAAAAAATAATAAAATTTTTTTAAAAAGAATATGGTACATGAGGGACATGTTCAGACTATTACTTATATTGCTACTTGATCGTGGTAGGAGCTGTCTGATTCTGGGGTTGGAGAATGGGGTGTCCTGAAAGTTCAAAATTCTACCTACATGCTTCAAGCATTTACCTCCCAGGCTATCATTGACTAAAAGCTCCATGCAATACAAACAATAAAAGAAGAACCATCTAGAAAAATAAATAAGAAGTTGAGCTCCAGAGAAAGAATGGCCAACATGTATTGTGATTGAGTCACTGAGATTAGAACCATTTTATTGAAGATAACAAATGACCTTAGTCTATAAAACCTTCTGAGTTATAAAATTCCAAAATTAAATAATCAGAGAAGCAACCAGGCATGCGACTAGTCAGAAAAAGAGCAGGTCATTTAACCTAACAGTAAGTGTATGAAAATGATCCAAACTATACAGCCCAGGGAACCATTAGATACATTTCTCAGAAGTCATTGCACACACCTTCCACTGCCCCTAGCCCCTGCAGTCAGTCCCCATCTCATTGTCTGATTCCATATTCTTCATTATTTTTATCAGTATGAAATTTCTTCTCTGCTAATTTATGTGTCCATTGTCTTCTTTCTACCTGTAGCAAAAGGAATACTCTTTAGGTAACAGATTTTGTTCATTGCTTCCATGTTCATTGCTACATACACCTCCAGCATCTAGAACAGTGTGTATCACATAGTAGATGCTCATTAAATATCTGAGAGTTGACTGACTGATTGACCGACCAAGTTGCCAACCTCATCCAAAAGGCTAGTAATTTGTTGAGTGCCATCAAGCAAGACATTAGATAAAGAAATATAACATATTCCTCTCATTGTTCAGAATCATCTAGCTCTGAACTCTGCATCCTCTATGGTCATTGGCATAGTACTTCATAAAAACTTCAAGGAGGTGTTTGGGTCCAGGGGCAATAGTTAAAACAATCGACAGAGAGAGAGGATTGGCAAAGGAAGAAGATAGGTGAGAAACCACTATGCCAAAGCAAAGACAGATCATGTGACTTTTCAGTCTGAAAAGACAGAGATTAGGGGGGAAACAAAATAATCTTTAAATTATGAAAGATATGGTCAGGATAAATGCAGGCATCTTTACTGCCATACTAGGACCTGAAAAGTGAGAATGAAGTACTTTTAAGGCACATGTACAGTAGAAGGTGGTGGAGGCTAAAAGTTCATCTCCTTTTGTAAACTCACCTGTTACCTTAAAAAAATGTTTGTTTGTTTTTTTCTTTTATTGATTTTAAAAAAAGGGAAAGGGGGGTAGAGAGAGAAACATCAATGAGAGAGAACATCGATTGGCCGCCTCCTGCATGCCCCCACTGGGGATCGGGCCCACAACCCGGGCATGTGCCCTGACTGAGAATCAACCTGGCGACCTCTTGGTGCATGGGTCGATGCTCAGTCACTGAGTCACACCGGCCAGGCCTCACTTGTTATCTTAAATCATCAGTTATTAAAGGAAGCAAAGATATTTTGGAGTGTTTCCCAAAGAATGGCAGCTTAATATAATGAAAAGCTCCCGAGACCGGACTTGATCTTCACTCTGCCCTGACCTCAGACAAGTCCCTTAATCATCTCAGCTTCGGTTCCACTACTGAAAAAGGAGGGCTTGTAGAGAGTGACCTTCTAGACTCAGGTCCCTTCTAGAATCAGCTTAATGTTTCCTAGCACATCCCCTGGTGCCACCTTGGAAGGCAGACCACAGGGATAAATGCACCCAGTGTGAAAACCCTCGTGTAATCTTCAATTCCATGGACGTTTAGACTGCAGGTTTTTTATTATAAAGCTTGTCACCTGGAATTTCTCTGTATCAATTTCTTATCATTGAAATCTTAATGGCTGTAAGATAGTAAATATTTTTTTAATTGACTCTTAAAAATTACCATTTTAGAGTGAAATATAGCCAGTGAATGTCTGTTTTATAAGTCAAAAGAAGTACATAGCAAATACAAAATGATCTCTGTGCACGTTAATAGATATCATTTACTTCTGAAGATGAATAAATTGTCTGTTTCCCTCTTCTGTTTCATACTCCTAATGAATATTCTCTGTGAGTGCAACAGTTGAAGGATGAATAAATACGTGTAACTATTAGTTCTCATGCAACTGGTGGAAACACTTAATAAATCTGTCCAAAACCTTTGATAAGGAAATTATTAACGTTTCTCCACTTTGAGGTCACCTCTTTCTACGGAAGCAGTTTCTTCAATGTTGATCCACCTTGGCTTTTTTTTCCTAGCAAGTCTGGACATGCCCAGTTTTTAAACAGTGATTTTTCAGTGCACTTTGCTACCCTACTTTCCCGTGCTTCATCTTTCAGCTACACGCAGATGATAGCCAGATAATCAGTCAACGGCAGCGTTCTTTCCAGCCCTGAGATGACAGAAACAACCGCAGGATTAGAAATAAGCGAAGATATTTCTGAACATAAACAACGGCCACAACTGACATTGAAAAATCAGAAATAGGACAGTTGTTGAGTAGTGAACTGCTGGTTGAAAAAAAAAAAGGACACCACATTGACTGTGGACTCAACTTAAACAAAAGTCTTTTTTCACTCCTTCAGCTCAGAAGAGAGAAGGGAGGAAAAATAAATAAGTAGGAAAATCAGAGAAGAGAAAGGGAAACAGAAAGAAGAAAGAAGAACAGGGCAGTAGACCACGAAGGCAGTGCCAGAACCCAGAGGGGCAGTGGGCTCGTCAGAAGCAAAAGGAAAACAGTAACCACGTGGGGAGTGAGAGAAGAGTTAATGAGCATGTAGACCTGGATAATCACTGCATTTTAGTCCAGCAGTGGTCATAGACCTTTAGCCTTCCATATCTCATCAGTCACCCCGAGGGCGACAGCCCTTGTACTTCTGGGGTCCACCCATTTTTATCATCATGGTGACCACTAAAGAACAGTCTCCATCAACTTATGTCTTCACTGCCTCTGCCTCTCACTTTGACTCTTTATTTTATCCCATGTACTAGTGACAGAGGAATATTCCTAAAATACCAGCGCCACAGGTCATTCCCCAGTTCGAAATCATGGGTTGGCTCTCCTGCCTGTAAGTTACATCCCTTCAGCTCGCCCTCCAGGCACTCCACAGTGGATCCCACCCAGAGCTGTTCTCAAGAATCCCTCATGCTAAGTTTGCCCTTCAGACAGGCTGATCCACTGCTGTTCTCATAAGTACACAGTGCACATTCTTTCCTCCTTTTCTCTCTCTATGTCCCCTTCCCAAAGCTTCCTCCCGTTGCCCTTTCCTGACATAAAGTTGATTCTAGGAGGATTTTTTTTTTTAATTTTCCAGCCCACTGGCACTTCCTAGAGGGCCTTCCTCAATCTCCTGGAACACTGGTTTGCATCATCCATTTAACATAACAATATAGTGCTCTCTCTCCAAGTCTTTCCCCACCACCTTAAAATTATTTTGGAGGGTTCTTGACAGTAAAGACATTACGTCATACTTCTCTGTATCCCCAGCATTTAGCTCATGGGAGACACATGATTAACGTTAGCTGGTTAGTGAAAGCCTTTCTGTGCGACCAAGTGAAAATGCTCAATAATGTTTCTCTTATTCAGTATCTTAACCTTCCATGGGTAATCTAGTCTCTCACTAATGTGAATGACGTTGGAGCCTGAAGAGACTGTTGCTGCAAGGGTTTGGGTGTGTACTGTTCTGTGGTCTCTCTGGGGCTGGTTCCCAGTCCTGGTATCACTGGAATAAATATAATGCTTCTTGAAATCTGGCATCTCTTCCTCCTTGGGTGCTTTCTGTTTCCCTATAAGATGTATAAAAATACCATTGGAATCAATATTCTTTCTGTGGGTAGTGGTGGAACCAAATCAATCTTTTCTCCTCTGGTTTCTCTTCCTATAACGCCAGACAAAGAGGAAGTGCAGAGGAAGCGGCAGAAGCTCATGCCCAATTTCTCGGACAGCTTTGGCGGCGGTGGTGCCGGGGCTGGAGGCGGAGGCATGTACGGCAGCGGCGGTGGAGGAGGGGGCACAGGAAGCGCCGGGCCAGGTACAGTCTGTTCTTTCCGAAGCCTTTTCACATCAGAGAGGGGAGAATTTTCTTTCCCTAGATTTCCCAGCTTATGTGTGGGTAGAGGGGCTATGACATTATTGAGTGTCATACATTAAATTATAACTGCCCAACAAATATAATTTTTGCAGAGAAGTGTCATTTCATTTTATAACATGTGGACAATACCAAAACCTCTAAAAAAGAAAAACAATCACCCAAGGCCAGTTATCCAAAGAAATACCTCTGTTAATATTTTGGTGTATTTTTTGGCATAGTTGTTTTGGTATTCTTTGGAAACATTGAAAATTATAGAAAGTTTAAAAATATGTAAAATTCTGCCATCCAAGGTATTATTCTCATTTTTTTGTTCATACATTGCAGTGTACATGTATGCGTTTTCCCAAGTACAGCTGTGCATATCCTGTTACATAGTATTTTAACCCATTTGTTTATATTAGCTGTTTAGTATCATCACATCATGGTTGTGTGTAGAGAATCATTATGCTGCTTTTCCCTAATGGTTTGCCATAAGCATTTCCCCAAGGTAATATAAACTTCACAGAAGCATAATTTTTAAGCATCAATTTAATGAGTTGTGAACAGACCATAATATAACTTACTTGACTGTTGCTACCTTTTTCTATGTAAAAGGTTATACTGAACTCTTCTATCCACATCACTTTTCTTTTATTTCAGACTTTTTAAAGATGAGATTCTTTGAAGTAAAATCACTGTGTCAGAGAGTATAACATCTAACACCAGTTGCTTTTCCAAAGAGTTTTACCAGTTTATGCTTCTACCAAAAATGCTTGAGAATGAATAGTGATAACCATGTTTCTGTTGAGAATTCAGTATAATTTTCTGTATTCTGTTTGGTTCAGTTTTTCCCTCCAGAGGTTATTTTCCTGTCTTCTGTGTCAGCAAGTCTGACTTTGGGTGGTAAACACTCATCATTCACCTCTCCCCTCCATGGGTGAGGGAAATTTTCTCCAGCATGGACTCCCCTGTGCTTCCCCAAGCCTGGGCACTGCCTGACTTGCCCAGATGTGAACTTGCAGAGTGGACTTCTCATCATCCCTGGTCCACCATGATGCGTCTTGCTAACTCTCAACAGAAGCACTGTGTCAGGCAGGAGCCCTCCCACATCAATGCTTGTGCTCACCTGGATGGAGGATGCTAAGGTTGCTGAGTCTTTGTAAAAAAAAACAAAAAAAAAACAGAACATCATGAGGGTTCCTTTGTTCTACCTGCCGTTTCAGGGTATGGCTTCCCCCACTATGGATTTCCATATGGTGGAATCACCTTCCACCATGGAGCCACTAAATCTAATGCTGGGATGAAGCATGGTAAGTAATACCTTTTTTTTTTTTAATACTAAGGAAGGAAGAAAAAACTTAATGCCAACAATATTTTTTATTATTATCTATCACAACAACATTATCCTCTTGAAGAACATGATGAATGCAAATAAGCTAAGAAGTTGCTTTGCCAAAAAAATATTATTTCCTGGGGAAAATTCTATTCTGGATGCTGTATTTATACTTCCTTTGACTTACTTTGTCAGTGGCATGAACAGGGCAAGAAATGGCATGAACATTAAAAAGGGACATATAGAGACATGATTATTCAAACATTAAAAGTCACCAAACTTAGCTGTTCTCTCTTTTTTTTCTCAAGTACTATACTTTTGAAGACCTTTTGAATTTTGTTGGGGTGGCCTTTTCCCATCAAATGCTCCCCGAATTAGCAGCTGCCACACCGTGTTTTCGGAGTTTGTATTGCACGTCTATTCTAGTGAGCCCTGTGAAGGAATAATCCAGAGAAGTCTTCCCTCCTGTTGAATGCTTATTTTATGTCAGCTGTTTTAACACATTTTGAGTAATCTTCATGATTACTCTGGAAGGAAAATATTAGCATCTCCACTTTTTAGATGTGTAAAAAAAAATGTTTTTTAATATCTTAGAATTTCTCATCACAAGAAAAAAAATCTTTTGTAACTGTATGCTGACAGATGTTAACTAGATTTATTGCAATGATCACTTTGCAAAATATGCAAATATTGAGTCATTATATTGTACACCTGAAATTAATATAATGTTATATATCAGTTATACCATAATTTAAAAAATGTTTTCAGAAACAAGAGTTTAAAATAGCTCCAAAGCATGTTACTTGTGACTATTTAAAAAAGAATTTGAAATGATCTGACCTCCATTGAAACAGTGAATGTTAACTTACTAAATGGATTTTTATTGAGACAAAGCTGATGTTTTTGCTTTTATCTTAGGAGCCATGGACACATCATCTAAAAATGACCCTGGAGGTTGTGAGGAGAGTGATGACAGAGAGGCTGTAAGTCTCTCTGGGGAAGGAACCAAAACCCCAGAGCAACATAAGGGGTCCAGCAGCAGAGATGATGAGGCTACTCTGGCCTATCCAGTGGGAGTGAAGGAAGAGAATTCTGGGTTTCTGGGTAAGTGAGCACACAGGATTACATTGCTTGGTTGGAGAGGGGACGAATCAGTGCTAGCCGTAGAATTTTTTCCACAAGACAGGTTTATTTTTATTGTTGATCTAAAGATGACATATCAATATGTAGTTCAGTGTGCTCTCCAGAGTCCTGTATGCCTTTTGAAAAGGATGTGTCAGGTCATTTTATTCACACTGGGATTTCCGTCTTCCCAGTGCTGTCTTTGACTATAAAGGGCAGAAATGTACATATGCCCTCTGCAACTATAATCGTGCAGTTTTAGAGTATCATGAGATGTAAGGTAATTCGTTTCTACTGCAGATAAAAAAGAACAGTTTCTGTAAATGTAATAGTTTCCCTTCTCTAGGTTGTAGCTTGACTGTCATACTAAAATGGATCTTTGCCTCAGACTAAGAACTTTTCCTTTTATCCTGACACCCTTTTTGAAGAATTCAGATTAGGAGGGACAGTGTACTTTTGTGTGAATGTTGAACCACTGCTCATTGGAGTATATGTCAGGAGCCTAGGTCATCCCAGATTGTACTCAGAAGACTTTCTGTAATGGGGAAGATAGTAAATATTTAGACTTGGTGGCCCCATAGTATCTCTATCGCATGTATTTTTTATACTCCTTTAAAAATGAACAAACCCTGCTTATCTAGGGGGTCATATAAAAACAGGCCACACACAGGGTTTGCTCCCATGGGCCACAGTTTGCCTTCCCCGACCTGCAGGAAGCAAATTTTACAAAAACAGTGGCTCATGGAAAGTCTTTCTGCAGCAGAGACTGTTTTCTGACACCTGCCTAATTGAGAGTTGCTTAAGAATCCAACGAAGGATGATGACTTCACTGAGAGATTATTTATGATTGCGGCAAAATCCAATCAACACTATTTGCAGATTGCTTGTTCCTCTTTAAATAACAGACATTTCTGAATTCCTTTTTCCCTAACAAACTGTAGATCGGTTTTTCAGACCAGCCGCAATATGTTTGCCCGTGAGCCAATGCCCAGTTGTGCTCTTTCCAGTGAACGCAATCCAGAAGCGCTGAAAGGGGCATTTTCCACTAACGCGCTGTGTGCCGGCGGTCCGAACGCTGCTGCTGATGGCTTTGACCTCAGGCATGCCGTGCCTGCAGAGCGAGTATAGGAAACTCATCTGGGATTGCGGTCATTGTCTTGCAGACAGCCTCTTCCTGGAGAAGGCAATGCAGCTTGCCAGGCGGCACGCCAACGCCCTGTTTGACTATGCGGTGACAGGAGATGTGAAGATGCTGCTGGCTGTCCAGCGTCACCTCACTGCCGTGCAGGATGAGAACGGGGACTGGTGAGTCAGGACTCCTGTCCGCAGGGCTGTGCCGGGGCAGGGAAGAGACATAACCACGGTGTGCATACTGGCTAGAGAGAAGAAGACTGGATCAACATGATTAGGTCCTATAGCTGGAGCACTCTCTCAAAGAAAATAATGTGTCAGCAGGATTGAATGGCATCATTTGCTTCTGTCCTGTGGCTCTCACCTCTTGGACTCGAGAGTCGCTGGAATACGCATCTAAGAGGACAACATTCTGGGCGAGAAATCAAAGATGTGTGTGGTGAACAGGGCTTTTGGAAAAGCCTAGCTTTATTTATGGAAATAAAATTTGGAATCACATTTAGTAAACAAATATTAAGAGTAATAATATCATAATGAAATTTGTGCTGCCAAATCCCGAAAGCACGTGTTATGTCAACTGTACATTAGTAACGATAGTTGACTCAAGAGAAAGCCCATAAAGACACCACAGTCCACGGCCATACCACTCTGAACACTCCCGATCTCGTCTGACCTCGGAAGCTGACAGGGGTCAGGCCTGGTTACTACTTAGATGGCAGACTGCCAGGAAATACTGCAGGCTAGAGTCTGTCAAAAAAAATATATATATATATAGCACAGCAACAAAATGATTAAGAAGCAGATGTCATTCCTTCCCAGCACTGGTTCCTTCTGCGCTGCCTCTGTCCATGGTCACCAGTCTGCGACTGGCTCGGGCTGATGACCACTTCGACCCACATTGTATGGGAGTCTGACATTCCTAATGCCATGCCTCCCATTCCTGCTGTGACTGGGCTGACATCTGCAAAGCCACCTGGCTTCCTTCTAAAACAGTTCTCTCCGTCCTTTCATTGAGACTTCTAAGATGATCTCAGCAGTCTATAAAAATAACAAGAGGCAGCAGCCCTCAGATTCAAGTCAAATGCCCCATCTAAAAACCTTCCCAAAATAGTGTTGTCAGAGAAACCCTATTCTGTGAAAGAGCTCTTGAGTGCTGTGTTTTAAACCTCAATTTAAAAACCGAACCAAAGGCTTGAGGAAAGTGCCAATCTCAGGTTTTCAGAGACCTTTGTTCTAATTGCTTGCAGCGTAACCAAGGATGTGGTATAACCACTGGCCTTGTACAGTATGAGAGGAACCGGTACAGCCTTCTTTGTGTAATGTCATAAACAGCACAATGTCTCCTAACTGGGTTAAATTATCCCGTTAACACTCAGTCGCGTATAACCACAAGAGAACGCAGTTAACCAAGGCAGGACAGCAACATTTTTAGGGACCTGCTGCATTGATGAGCCTAAGAAAGACAAGCACATACCAGTTAGAAAGAGACTGCTGGTGTGTGAGGGAGGGTTGTGGGAAGGGTACAAGGTGCATACAGTCCAGTGGGTGCACAGAGAGGGGTCGTAGACATATGTAACGACTCCAGACATACGGGGGGCTGAGGAGGTGGCCTTCCCTGCCCAAGCGGGAAATCAACACTCAGAGTCCCCTTTGAGGACCCCAGACATCTTGTGCAGGTGGCCCTCAGAGCTTGCTACAGCTAGAGGCCAGCGTGCTGAGGCTTGGGGAGACCAAAGAGGAGTCTTCACAAGAATGTAGACAAGGGACGCCACACCTTTTGGCCTTCCCAGCTCAGGCCTCTTGTTGTCATTGAGCTTGTCATATGCGGCTGATAACCTGAATTCTATGGCTGTTAATCATCACAGGAAAGACAATAAAGAAAGAAATAATTAAGATGTCTGGTATTAGGGAAATTCCCATGAGGGTGTGAGGATTTTCGGGGAAGGGAGGAGGGGGCTGCTGCGAAACGCTGAGTTACGCATGGAAATTTTTAGGCAGTTTCTGAAGTATGGCCTTTTTCGTGGTATGTGTGCCTCATGTCTGCGTCAGACTCCAGGCCCCTTTCAGAAGTCTTCTTCCAGCCTCTCATTTCAAGAGACAGTAGTGAAACTCTGAAATCATTCGTTTAAAAATAGTCTCTCTAGTTAATGGAGTCACAGTTTAGTTTCTGAGGCCCCCCTGCTCCAATGCCAATCCCAAGGAAGGCGTACTTGCTATTGCTAAAAAGAAGGCCTGGATAAAATGACACCTATTATTTTAAATTAGAGTAAATCCAGCCTGTGCCTCCAATCCCGTCTGTATTGCCACCTTGCGATGCTTGGAGTGTGCCCTGCCTCCCAGTCTGCCCGTACTTTAGAGTACTGATCCTCTTAGACGTCTGCCTACAGCTCTCAGAGCGGTGTGTCCCTAAAGCAGGATTAGAAGATGATTTTGGAGCAAGACTGACCTGGGCTTAAATCCCAGCTTCAACACTCACTAGGTCTGTGACCCGGGTTGGGTTCTATTATACCCACAAGTCTCAGTTTCATCATCTGAAAAATGGGGATAATATTACCTACCTCATCGGGTTGTTGTTATGAGAAATGAGATAACGTATGTCAAGTACTTAGCACAATCTGGTAAGTAGATGCTCTAAACAAACAGTAGCCACTTTTATGGTTATTATCAAATTAATTTTAATAGTAAGTTTTTTTTAACAGTTAAAAAATGAGGTGATGCTTGGCAACCACCATGATTTTGGACCTTGTTAGTCTAAACCGCTAGGTGTCTTCTGTCATCCTTGTTGTAGTGCCCGAGGGGTGTGCCAGGCCTGTAAGGCCGACCCAGAGGGAACCAGCCTCCGAGAAGATCGCAGGACAGAGAGGGAGAAAGATGTATAGAAAATTGGAGTCATGCAGCCAAGCAGTAAACTCGAGGGGAAACAACCCACTCTGCCTAGGAAGTAGGGGAAGTCCTCTCCAAGGATGTGAGGTTTGAACTGGAATATGAAGGATAGAGAGGCACTGTCCAGGCAGAGAAAAGGGGAGCAAAACATTCCAGGCCAAGGGGATGTTTGCAAGGGAGAAATACGTTCCCGTTGTTCCTTCCGACGTTTGCCTCTCGGTAGTGAAAAGCCTGACTCCATTCTCCCCTCTTGGAATCTCGGACGATCTTAAAAAGCCACCACACTGTATTTTGCAGGCTAGGTGAGGCAGCTACACTTTTCTGCACAGATCCTAGTTCAGGCATTTTATATACATCATCCACATGCCAGGGAAGGTTGGGGGGGAAAGGCCCCGAAGCCATAGCATGGAGGCAGAGGGGGGATTTGAAAGCAGCTCTCTGTCTCAAAGCCCAGGTGCCTTTCCGCCTAAGAGAGATCAAACCTCAAAGCTCCCCGAGACACAGCAGGCACCAGAAATGAGTGCCTTGGGTAGGCAGAAGAGAGCCCCCCACTTAAGACATTTTGTAGATTCAAAACATCTGGGGGCTAAAGAAAACCAGGTATGAGAGGCAGGTGCAGTGTACAAGTCTTAATTGTATCTTGGGAATATTGTTTTCATTAACATTTTAGTTGATTATTGCCTTTATGTTTTTGTTCCAGTGTCTTACACTTAGCAATCATCCACCTCCATGCTCAACTTGTGAGGGATCTGCTAGAAGTCACTTCTGGTTTGGTTTTAGATGACATTATCAACATGAGAAATGATCTGTACCAGGTAAGCAGAACTATCCAAGACACAACTGAAAAACCGATGGGTGGGTGGGTGTGTGTGTGTGTGTGTGGTTTCTAATAATGTTAGCAGTAGCAAAGCATACAACAGCACATCTTTGCAGGTAAGATCCTAAGAGCCTATCACTCAGGAATGTTCTATAATGAACGAGGGCACTTTGCTCTGTGGGTGTAATAGCAACCACTTCACAGTGAAATTTAGCTGGAGGAAGGCAAACTTTAAACTTTAGAAGGCAACAAGGGGTCAGTCCATTTTGGGAGGAGAACCTAGCAGGCATGTATCACATCTATCAAGAAAGGTAAAATTGAAAAAAGATTATTACATTTGAAAAGCCAGTCATTTACAAGAATTTTGAAGTCTGCTGAAACCCATTTTGACAACACTGAGATTAAATGTGTATCAAATGGAAGGTGCTGATGCATCAGAATACAAAAAGATGAAACTCTGCTTGAGGAAGAAAGAACGTCTTTCAAAAACAGAAAGACAGCTCAAAGTGAGGAAAACAGGAAACCCCAAAGAGTTTTGTCCAAATCAGGTTTAAATAAAAATTAGGTGGGCTCAGAAGCAACCTCGGGAACTCCCTTACAGAGGTCGTCAGACTTGCAGAGAGAAGATGGGTGGGACCCCAGGGAGGCTGCCTGATGGGCACATGCAGTTGTAAGGAGAGGAAAGGAGGTTAAACTGCTTGGGCAGAACCAAAGCCTGGATACTGGGTGCTGGGTGCTGGGAGCAGAGACCTGGGCGAGCCTCTCTGGCGAAGGGACCTACAGCCTGCACCAGCGCAAGATGAGGAGGGTTCTGATTTCCAGGGCTGCTCCTGCCTCTCCCTGAGCGCTGTCCTGGCCCCATCAGTCTTAGGTACCAGTCTACTGGTCTCACCTCTGCTCAGCTTTCCTGTCTTCTTCCTCCCTTCACTCAACCCAGGGTGACTACCCAGTTCCTCTTGGCCTAGATGGTGTGCTCAGATGCCTGATTCAAGCATCTCTCTCACTCTACAAATAACGATAACGTCCAGTTATTTACATGGTAAAGGACCTGTTCCAGCCCTCAATTTTTTTTATCCTCACCCGAGGACATTTTTGCATTTATCTTCAGATAGAGCAGGAGGGAGGGAGGGAGGGAAGAAGAGAGAGAGAGAGAGAGAGAGAAACATCGATGTGAGAGAGACACATCAAGTGGTTGCCACCCACACGACCCCAACCAGGGCCGGGGAGAAACTGCAACCGAGGTACGTGCCCTTAGCAGGAACCGAACCCAGGACTCTTCAGTCTTCAGGCTGACACTCTAATCGCTGAGCCAAACCAGCCAGGGCTCCAGCCCTCAATTTTTAAAGCTGATGATATTAATCATTTTTATTTCCTCGAAGCAAAAGTACTAAAATGTTTATATGTAGCTGCCAATAGATTTTTTTACTTGTGGTACGTGCTTCCTGAGAAAGCACAATCACAAATTCCTATGGGATGCAAGGCTGCTTCTCTGCCTGTCGGGCTTAATGTCAAAGGACAACTGAGTTCGGGATTCCTCACTGACTCGTAATATAAAATAACTAGGGTGAGGTCTAATTTTAGATATACTGCATTTAAAGGATATCTTCTTCCAATATCTTTCATAACATTTTGAGGGTTGTTGGTATTTGGAAAGTCACTTTGCCCATAGAGCTTGATTTCTCAGGGTTTGGGACGGACTCTTCTGTTCACCATTGAAGTGTACAAGTCAAACTAGGAATGGGTCGTTGTCACTTTACGGCCTTGCTTCCAAACACTGCTTGACTTCTCTGCCTGTAGGTCACATTCAAGGAATCACCTGGTTTTCTATTTATAAATAGGACCTACAAAGGACACAGAACAATGGGACTAGTAGTTATGATGTGCTATGTGCTAACCTCCTTACTGTATCCTTTGGTTACATATATTGAAGACTCCAGTGCGCTAGAGACAAAACCCCTAAAACCACCACTTTTGACACTTCTGAGCCTTTAAAAATTTTATTTATTATTTTTAATATATATTTTTATTGTTGACAGTATTACAGATGTCTCCCATTCCCCCCATCCTCTTTGACCCTCTTCACTCAGCCCCTGTCCCACCCCAGGCCTTCATCACACTATTATCTGTATCCATGGGTTATGCATATATGTATATAAGTTCTTCGGTTATTCTCTTCCCATCTCACCGCCCCCCCCCCCCGAGATTTGTTAGTCTCCATCAAACTAAAAAGCCTCTGCACAGCAAAAGAAACCATCCTCAAAATGATAAGGGATGCCCTGGCCGGTTTGGCTCAGCGGTTGGGGCGTCGGCCTGCGGTCCTGAGAGACCCTGGTTCGGTTCCCGCTAAGGGCATGTACCTCGGTTGCAGTTTGTCCCCGGCCCTGGTTGGGTCGTGTGGGTGGCAGCCACTCGACGTGTCCCTTTCACGTCGATGTTTCTCTCTCTCTCTCTCCCTCCCACACTCTATTTGAACAAAAAATAGAAAAAATGTCCTCGGGTGAGGATAAAAAAAAAAAAATGATAAGGGAACCCACTGTATTGGGAGAACACATTTGCCAATGATACATCTGATAAGGGGTTAATTTCCAAAATAAACAAATAACTCATACAACTCAACACCAGGAAGACAATCCAATTAAAGATGGGCAACGGGCATGAATAGACACTTCTCCAAAGAGAACATACAGATGGCCAACCGATATGTGAAAAGCTGCTGAACGTCACTAGTCATCAGAAAGACGCAAATTAAAACCACAATAAGGTATCACCTCACACCTGCCAGAATGGCTGCCATCAATAAATCAACAAACAACAAGCACTGGTGAGGATGAGGAGAAAAGGGAACCCTAGTTCACTGCTGGTGGGAATGCAGACGGGTGCAGCCACTGTGGAAAGCAGTGTAGAGTTTCCTCAAAAAATTAAAAATGAAACTGCCATTTGACCCAGCGATCCCACTTCTGAGCCTTCTTATTCCGAGACTCTAGGGAGAACACAGACCTATTTTTCCCTCCCTTACCACTATTCTCGTTAGTGGGCGAGGATTCTGGATCCTCTGGTATGCTTTCTAGATCTCAAACACATACCCAACGCAGCTTCGGTCTGAGAGCTAGCAACCACTTGGGCCTTCGTTTATCTGCTGGAACTATTTATCTTTGTTAACTCCTTCTGATGAGAAAGTGAACAGTTCTCTAAGTAATTTGGATTATTTGGCAATCATCTTAAACATTCTCCCAAAATACCTTTCTCTAATCTTAGTATGTGTCTGAGGCCATCTGTCACGACCACATTTCTCTCCCCACCCACCCTCTACAGACACACTCAAAATAATCCAGGTCCATAGAGCTAAGATTTTTCTGAAAATATTTCTGAAATTTATTCCCTTTAAACTTTATTTTCCTCTTTCTTTCCCCTCACCCCAGTGTAGACAACTATTCCAGTGTGTTTGATGTGGATTGTTCATTTGCATATTTTCCTATAAAACATGAGGGGGTTTTTCGTGCATGTATATGTTATGTTTTCAATTATTATAAATATAATATATAGTCATTGTTTTTTAAATGGCACAGAGGATGTTCATCCCTTGGAGAATCCAAGTTGCCCTCCCTGGCAGCATACAAGTCTCCCAGCCCCACTCCCAAATGTAACTATTGTGTTTGTAAGTGTTTTCCACATATCGGCTACATAAACATACAAGCTTTATTATTTTTTTCAATTACAGTTGACATACACCATTGTGTATATGCTATTATAGTGACGTACACTGTTTCAGGTGTGCAACAAACATTTATATAACTTAAAAAATGATCACCCTGAAAATTCTAGTACCCATTTGACACCATACATAGTTATTACAACATTATTGACTATATTCCCTATGCTGTACTTTATTTACATCCCTATGACTGTTTTCAAAACTGGCAATTTGGCCCGGCCCGTGTGCTCAGTGGATTGAGTGTCATCCCATGGACTGAGAGATCCCGGTTTGATTCCCAGTCAGGGCACATGCCAGTAGGGGGAGTGCAGGAGGCAGCTGATTGATGTTTCTCACATCGATGTTTCTCTCTCCCTTCCTTTCTCTCTGAAAAAATAATCAATAAAAACATATTTAAAAACGAACTGGAAATTTGTACATCTTAATCCCTTAAATAGGTAGATATTTTAGTATAGTCTCACACACAATACACATTACATTATACATTCTGATTCTGCTCTGCATTAGCCTTTTTCTTTCATTTGTACTTCAAGGTAATTACAGGTTCATAGGTAGTTGCAAAAAATGTACCGCAAGGTCCCATGTACCCTTCATCCAGTTTCCCCTATGGTAGCATCTTGCATAACTATAGTTCAGTATCAGGAAATTGACATTGACAATCCACAGATCTTACTGGGTTTTCACCAGTTTTACATGTACTCATTTGTGGGTGTCTATATAGTTCTTCATGCCTGTATTTTTTAAATGCTTAGGTGATTCTGTGCTACATGTCACTAGATTTCTGCCCTCTGTCTTTATGGGACTCACCTTGCACCTGTGTGTAGAGCTGGTTCATTGTTTCTGTTCCTGAGAAGAATCCCATAGTGTCAGTCTTCCACTGGTATTGTACCTGCTTCTCAGCAGTGGACACTGAGCCAGCTTCTTGCTTCCCATCCCTGTGGACAGTACTGCAATGACTGTCCTCATCCAGGCCCTCTTGTGAACGTGTATCACTCAGATATACGTGCAGGAGTTGGGCTGCTTGGACGTTTGTCTACTTGGCTCTGAAGAATGTTTGTGTACATCCACACATCAACAGGCATAGCATACGGGTTCCTGGATCCCCACGTTGTATAATTGTGTAAGATGTAATCCTGGGGTTTAAGATCTAAAGCCTGAGATATCATAGAAAACCTTTGGTGGGGTCATGAGAGAAACTTTATTTATTTATTTATTTATTTATCCTCACCCAAGGATATTTTTCCATTTATCTTTAGACAGAACAGGAGGGAGGGAGAGAGAAAGAGAGAAACATCATCGATGCGAGAGAGAGACATCGACTGGTTACCTCCCGCGCAACCCTGACCAGGGCTGGGGTCGAACCGCAACCGAGGTATGTGCCCTTGGCCGGAATCGAACCCTAGTTTCATTGGTCCATGAGCCGATGCTCTAACCACTGAGTCAAACCAGCCAGGGTGAGAGAAACTTTAAAAAACAAACAACAAAAAAAATCCTCTCTTAACAGTAGAGAATTTGTATGATATGAAAAAGAATCATTTTAAAACTACAGATAATTCCTAATCTCTGAATGCTATAAGATTTTATCACTTCAGATCTTTTCTCATTCTGTGTTCTTTTTGCATCTCCCCAAATAGCATTCCTGATTAATAAGCACAGCTTTTATTTACTTGTTTGTTTTTCAAGAGGAAGGCTTTTAGCCAATAGCTTAAGTCTTGAGGACATCATTCCATTTCAAGCAGGGATACAGTCTTAAAAGACAAAAAAAGGGGGGTGGGGTGGGGAGAATGGAAATTTGGCAAAACATCCTGTCTTGTTTCTGCTATATTAAATAACCACTGTGATTGAGACATAGACGGCTGAGATCTTTCATCCAAGTTCCCATGTGTCGTGGTCACTCTGCACCAGCCAGGATGCTGTTAGCTGGTGCTGCTACAGTAACTGCTTACTGAGCGGGACAGTTTAAGAGAATTGTCACTAGACAGGCTGGATTCCACAAACTCCTGTGAAATCCACTGATTTGTATAAAATACACTGCTGCTCTGTCAGTGACCTCTGTTCTTTGAAAGATAATTTTGTGACCCTATCTTATTCTGAAAACACACAGTTTTCAAAACATCCCATTTTCGCTCGCTGAGGTACTGCTTCACGGACAGGGGAGTCAAATGGGCTCTTCACTTACCTATTGGGTGTCAGCAAGTCAGTGTGTTTGTTCATCTGAGACCTCTTAGTGGGGCGGTGCTGTTGCCCCAATTGTGACGTGTCCAACCCTTTGACACCTTTTATAAAATGAGACTGCAGAGTTCTGTTCACTAGTCTCACAGAGGCAATCCATGGACCAGAATTTTTTAACTTAACAGATTTATTTCCCATGTCACTATAGAATGACAGCACCTTTGTTAATGGGTTTCTGTTGAGTAGTTCATTTAAAATTCTTCAGTAAAGACGTAGCCTTGGTTTGATTTGTTAACGTGTGAAATTATAAGCTAAAGATAGAGTCCTATTAGAATTTCAAGAAAACTAAATTTACTAGTAGATGAGTTAATAGATCAGTAATCACTGGGCTGGAATGAGAAACAAGAAAGCTATTAAGAATTGTAAATGGAAAAGCACTCTTCATAGTTGAGTGGCTGAAGTTAGTCCAGTGTACATACTTCATTAGTATATGATATGGAACAGGAAGTAACTCCTTTGCAAAGGTGAGGAGCCTGCAGTATGACTCCATCTACTGTCTTGATAGCTGGGTTGTAAGTGTTTGCTACTGACAGTTTGTCTCCTGCCGCTTCTTCAACTTCCCAGACGCCCTTGTACTTGGCAGTGATCACCAAGCAGGAGGCTGTGGTGGAGGACTTGCTCAGGGCTGGGGTCGATCTGAGCCTTCTGGACCACTTGGGTAACTCTGTTTTACACCTAGCTGCCAAAGAAGGACATGATAGAATTCTCGGTACTTTACTCAAGCACAAAAAGGCAGCACTACTTATCGACCACCCCAATGGGGAAGGTAAGAGAAAAAAATCACACGTCCTGGTATACCCGTCTCTATCTGCTTTCTAAACAGTTAGTAGGTATTTGATAAATGTGTGTTATTATTTTATTTGCACCAGAAGTGCTTTCCTTAGTCACCTGGAGTGTATCATCTCTTGTGGGAATGTATGTTGCTCACCATAGCTGATTCCTTTCGAGATGACTTGGGAGAGAGTCAGTAGCAGGAACAAGCAGACGCCCGACAAACGCTGGGCTTAAAGTGTAGAAAGCAACCTTTATTCGGGGAATGTTGATTTGCTCTCGGTGTCTCCTGAGAACATAAAAGGAGACTGTGAGCTTACATGCAGAGGGGCTGACGTCCAGCGCCTACAAAGCTTACCTGGAATAGACTCTTTCAGCACGAGACGTGCCCAAACCCATCGGCCTTCCCGCCCTGTGGACCAGTTGTCATTTCCTTCAGCCCCACCGAGGACCTGCCCTCCCCGTGACTGTCCCTGTGCTTGGGCCGCAGGTCTGAACGCCATCCACATCGCGGTGATGAGCAACAGCATGCCCTGTCTGCTGCTGCTGGTGGCCGCCGGGGCGGACGTCAACGCGCAGGAGCAGAAGTCGGGTCGCACGGCGCTGCACCTGGCTGTGGAGCAGGACAACATCTCCCTGGCTGGCTGTCTGCTCCTGGAGGTAAAGGATGCACTGATTTGCCTTTGCATTCAATTCCAAGGGAGGTTTGGGAAAATCTTTTCAAAGCACGGTGCTGGTAAGCCTTCGTCCTTACATGCAACTCTACCTATTTCACATCTACGCAAGGCCTCCGGGCTGCAGCCGCAGGCGTGCCGGTCACCTCTGCCCCGGAGCGCTAACTGGGGACTGTTTCAGTGGCAGGGCCTGCCCCAAACAGCGCCTGTGCTGGTGATGTAACTCACGGAGCCATGAAGACGGGGGACATGGGGACAAAGGGCGAGGGAACCTTCGATAACCCTTTTTTGTGTGGGCCGGATTGTAGGGTGATGCCCACGTAGACAGTACCACCTACGACGGAACTACACCGCTGCACATAGCGGCCGGGAGAGGCTCCACCCGGATGGCAGCCCTTCTGAAAGCAGCAGGTAAGGCCGCCTGGCGTCCGCTGTGGAAGGGGGCAGGCAGTGCACCCCGACGCCAGCGGAGCAGCCCTGCCGCCCTCTTCAAGCCTCGGGTCTGCTGCCCAAAGGCGAGTGAACAGCTCCTGTGGCCAATCCCACTTCCACTGCCGTAAAGCACTGTCGGGACTAGTGGTCCTGGGCTTCCTCCTGAGACCCGTGTTGGTTTTTACTCTCTCAGGCACCTGTTTGTTTAGGGGTCTGGTGGTTTAGGTTGACTCCCCTGGCAAGAGACCCTAAAGTTGAATTTCATTCCTTATGGAATTCTGAGCAGTACCGGTCTTGTCACAGCAGAAGTCCCCGTAAGGAAAAACGTGTTGGTATAAGAGATGATGTAAAGACTTCCTTTTGCAGGAAAGGTCTCGTAGAAATTGAATAGGAAAAAACTAATGGGACGTGTATTGAGTCCTATCGTGTATGAAGCACTGAACATCCCTAGTGTACATTGACCTAAGTCTGTACCAGGCAATGTTCTAGGCATTTCACATGCACTGTTTGGTTTAGTCTTAATTAATCCACAATAACCCCTTGAGGTACATCCCATTATGGTTATTCCCATTTATAGCTGAGGAAACAGACGAGAGAAACCTTTGCAGCCCAGTCCCAGGGTGCCAGTAACTGGCAGGGCCATGACTCACACCGTGTCCGTCTGAACTTCCAAACGTAATTCTCCCTCCTGTGTTTCTCCCCCCTACTTTGTTCAAGGGTCTGCAGGTGCTATTCCTTAACCCTCCACTCCTGTGAAGTATAGAACAGTTTTTCCTGCTCATCCCAAATAAACAGCAGCCTTTTCTTCCCTCCTTTGTCTAGTTAAATATTTGCCTTAAATATTTAGAACCTCAAAAACTGTTTAATGAAATTGGTATCTCAGATCTGCCCAGATATATCTGATTTACTTTAGAGATTATTAAGTTTTTTTCGAAAATAAATGCTTTGCTGTCTGCCACCTCTGGAGGAGAGGAGAGATGTTAGGGGGTTGGTGAGATTGGGCAAAAAAGAAAAAAAAGAGAGAACTCATGGACATGGACAACAATGCGGTGATTGCGGGGGGTGGGGGGTGTCAGGTGGAAGAGGGCATCGAGGGGGTGGATGGTGATGGAAAAATGAAAGAAAATACTTGACTAGTGAAAAAAAGGAAGTGCTTTATAAATTCAAGAAAACAGAGCAGGTTAAATACCTTCTTCAAAAGTTGAGTCTAGAAAGACGTGGGAAATTCTTTGGAGTGCCACATTTTTCTGACAAGTAAAATCTTATCCCAAATAAACAACAGATGTGCTCACTTCAGCAGCATATATCCCAAATAAACAGCAGCCTTTTCTTCCCTCCTTTGTCTAGTTAAACTTTCTCTTGAATAAGCCTCCAGTTTGGTAAGTCAGTGGTTATAATTAAGGAATGCCTTCAGGCAAGAAGCTATAACCCTTTCAAAAATGCTTTCTCTTGAATTCTCAGTATCCCACGGAAGGGGTAGCAAGTAGCAGTTTCTTCAAGATAAATGAAGAAACTCAGATGAAAAGCCTAGTCCTGAGCCTCCAGGTCATGAAGAAGATCACTTCAGGAACCAACATAGCCCAGCTCCTTCGGTCTTCGGTCCTGTAATTGTTCACCTGAGTTTCTCCACTATTGTCATTGTCAGATGACACTTACTGCCTCATAAATCAGGCTAGACCTGAGATAATGAAAAAAAGAAATAGCGTGAAGATCCTCCTTTGACTCTCATGAGGCACTCCCTGTTATTAAAATTAGCACAGATCAAATGTTCTCCCAGCAAGATAAAAACAAGTTTCTCTTCCCAAAAGGGTGTGCTGAACTTACTCCTCTGCACATTAGGCACCAAGTTAAACACTCCCCTCATTAAAATCATGGCGAAGGCCCTGGCCGGTTTGGCTCAGCGGTTAAGAGTTGGCCTGTGGTCCAGAGAGACCCGGGTTCGGTTCCCACTAGGGGCGCGTGCCACGGTTGCAGTTTGTCCCCAGTCCTGGTTGGTCGTGCGGGTGGCAGCCACTCGATGTGTCCCTTTCACGTCGATGTTTCTCTCTCTCTCTCTATCTTCCTCTCACTCTATCTGAACAAAAGAATGGAAAAATGTCCTCGGGTGAGGATAAAAAAAAATCATAGCTAAGCACTAACCCTAGCTCTAACCTTTGAGTTACTCTTGGTGTTTCCTGCTGTGGGCTAAGGAACAGACTAGATTTTCCAAAAGCAGCCCTAAATTCTTCAATAACTACACATCCTAGCAGAGGTGTTTTTTGTTTAATGATCAGGGCCCTGGCAGTGCTGTTCCCAGGAATAAAACTGAACGTGTTGTAACTAGACAGCAGGTGTCTGCTCTTTTGAGCAAGTAGGAGAAGAAGTTGAGACATGCACATAAATTTGAACCTTAGGACTCTCCTCTTGAGGGTGCACCTCAGTACCTGCTGTCTTTCATCCTCAAGTTAAAGATGTATCATTCAAGGCCAAGAAACACATGAAGAAATGCTCAAGATCACTAATCATCAGAGAGATGCAAATTAAAACAACTATGAGGTATCACCTCACACCTGTCAGATTGGCCGCCATCAACAAATCATCAAACAAGTGTTGGCGAGGGTGTGGAGAAAAGGGGACTCTAGTACACTGCTGGTGGGAATGCAGACTGGTGCAGCCACTATGGAAAACACTATGGTGTTACCTCAAAAAATTAAAAATTGAACTGCCATTTGACCCAGTGATCCCACTTCTAGGAATATACCCTAAGAAGCCTGAAATACCAATCAGAAAGAATATATGTACCCCTATGTTCATAGCAGCACTATTTACAATTGCTAAGATCTGTAAACAACCCAAGTGTCCATCAATAGATGAGTGTATAAAAAAGCAGTGGTACATGTACACAATGGAGTACTATGCAGCTGTAAGAAAGCAAGATCTCTTATCATTTGAGATGGCATGTAAGGACCTGGAGAGTATTATGCTGAGTGAAACAAGCCAAGCAGAGAAAGATAAATATCACGTGATCTCACTTATTTGTGAAATAAAATGAACTAAACAAAATGATGAACAAAATTGACCCAGAGACATAGAGGTGGGGTACAGACTGACAAGCCTCAGAGGAGGGGGGTTGGGGGGAAGAGATGAACCACAGAATTTATATGCATGTATGCATAACTAATGGACATAGACAACAAAGCTGGGCAAGGGGGATGGGGAGGAGGGTGTCAATGAGGGAAAAAGGAGAAACATCTGTAACAAAACAACTTAATAAAAAAAAATTTTTTTAAAGATGCATCATTCAATTTAAAACTATCCTGTAGAGTTAAATGTGAGAGAGTAATCCAAGTCTTTTGTTTCACAAGTGCCCTTGGATCTATAGGGAATCATCAGACACCTTTACAGCCAAAATAAATTAGAATTTTAAAAACAGCCTCTGGATAGTTCAGTAGAGATGTGTTTTGTCTATTTATAAGTAATGTTTTATATATTTATATACTCTGACCCCCGAAGGCAGTTGGAAGTTGGGAAGATACAAGTTTATCTAATGCTGTGTGATTTGACTTCGCAGGAGCAGATCCTCTGCTGGAGAACTTTGAGCCTCTCTATGACCTGGACGATTCCTGGGAAAAGGATGGAGATGATGAAGGAGTTGTGCCTGGAACCACACCTCTAGATATGGCCACCAACTGGCAGGTGAGTGTGTCTCCAGCCTGTTTGATGGAGCTCCTGGGGGAGCTAAAGGTTCAGAAAAGTAAGAACAGATGTTCTTGCTGGGTCTTAATTCCCCAAAGCACATGCCTTTTATTTTTTAAGAAAGTCTGCTTGTCAAGGGCTGTATTTATCTTGAAAAGCTTATCCATGGAAGATCTAGGTCAGCAGAGTTCTGAGCGTAAAAGTGTATGCCTAATCAGATCCGAGTTAAGTGGTGAGAGAGGGCTAGATGAAAACCCAAAATTCACATTAGCAGTTATCCATTCTGAACGCACCCCAGAACGTCCCCATCTTCATTTCTGAAGCTAGAATAAATGTTTCGGTTCGCTTGAACTGTGGTAAGTGCTTTCTCAACATAAAAGGAAACTGGGGGTTCTTCTGAGGATTTAATAATGTAAACAAATCAAACAGACTTAAAGCCTTCCTCAAAACTCCACTGACCTGAGATCTCAAGGTGAAAAGCAGTTACTAGGTCTTTTTGGCTCAGTGAGAAGAGACAGAGAGGGGAGGTGGCAGCTCACAGATCTCAAACACAACAAAATCAACTCTCTTAGGAGCAAGCAATGCTCCACATGCAAAATCAGCTAATTTCTTCCCTGTGGCCCATGTGGACTGAGCCAAGTGACCTTGGCAGAGACCACATGGTGTCCCTTTACATTGAGCGCCTGGCTTTCCCAGAAGCCTCACCACAGACTGCAGAAAGATAACCCAGTTCAGTGACCCCCGTCATCCTTCCGCGGGTCAGCCAGCAGCCAAGTGACAGCAGAACGCAGAATAGCCTCCACCGCTTTGGGATTTTGTTTGTTTTAACTTAAAACTTTTCTGGCCCCTCAGTTACAATGTAGATGCTGGAAGGCTAACGCCAAGCCTTCTGAGCATTTCTGTCCCTCAGTTTGAGCAAGTTTATAAACCTCATTCTTGTAAGCCTTGTACTAGGGAGGAGGGGACACAGCTTCACAGCTCTGAGAAAGGTCAGCCCTCGCCCCGCTCTGAGGGAGACGTCATTGATCAATGGCCGATGGAGACGCGGCTGACTCGGCAGCCTGGACTGCCTTTGGCCCTCAGAAGGGCCTGACCCTTGCTCTCTCTGAGCTGGGTTGGGTCCTCCAACCCCTCCCAGACAGCTCCTGTGGAGCACGGCCTCCCAGCCCCAAAGGGCCCGCGTACCCATGACTCCTCTCTCCACTCTTCCATCTTCAGGGTACTAGCACCTCCTAAGAAAGACATTCTGAGTTCTTAATTACAAAAAGAAAAGGATTTCCTTCATGGTGTCTTTAATATGCAATTGTCACCCATGTTTTTCTCCCACCAGGTATTCGACATATTAAATGGGAAGCCGTATGAGCCAGAGTTTACATCTGATGATTTATTGGCACAAGGTGGGTTCACATAACCGATGTTATTTCCACACCGTCACTGGAAGGGGCTGGGGGAGAGCCGGTATAATCCAGGGTGTTCTGTAAAAGGCCCAGAGGTTATTTCAGAATCAGAAGCTCCGGGTGGTGTGAAAGGGGAATAGCCAGTTGTAATCTACTAAAACCCATACTGCTGGTACTCAGCTGGGCTGCTTCTGCCTCTCAGGTAAAGAGCTCGATGGCCTCCAGGGGGCGCTGGAGGGTGAGCATAGTGGCAGCCCTCACTCCCTCCGGGTGTCTGTTCACCAGGACAGTCGCATCTCTTCTTCCTTTACTTCAGGAGACATGAAACAGCTGACTGAAGACACAAAGTTGCAGCTTTACAAGTTGCTAGAATTTCCCGATCCAGACAAAAACTGGGCAACTCTGGCACAGAAATTAGGTCTGGGGATACTCAATAATGCCTTCCGGCTGAGTCCTGCTCCTTCTAAAACGCTCATGGACAATTACGAGGTAACACATCACCCGTCATTGCTAACTATGTTTATTTGACTTTGCTCTGTTAACATCACTCCTGGGCACAGCCGCCTTTGCTCTCCCTGTCCCTGAAGAAGACAGTCCATCATTACCCATGTCCTGGGAGGGGGGCCCAGGCGAAGATTGGAAAGCCCCTTCCTAGAAAGCTATTTGCAGAATCCTGGAAATTTTCTGCAGAAATGCTACGTAGGCCCTGGCTGGTTTGGCTCAGCGGTTAGAGTGTCGGCCCGCGGACCAATGAGTCGCAGGTTTGATTCTGGTCAAGGGCACGTACCTCAGTTGCAGTTCGTTCCAGGCCCTGGTCAGGTCGTGAGGGAGGCAACCGGTCGATGTGGCTCTATCACATCAATGTTTCTTTCTCTCTCTCTCTCCCTCCCTCCCACTCTATCTGAGGATAAATGGAAAAATATCGTCGGGTGAGGAATAAAAAAAAAATGCTATTTAGGGCCTGAGCCGGGTAGCTCAGTTGGTTGGAGCATCGTTCCAATGCACCAGAGTTGAGGGTTCAATCCCTGGTCAGGACATATACAGGAGACAGCCAATGAATGCATGGATACAGTAAATCGATGTTTGTCTCTCTCTCCTGTCCTCTCCCTCTCTAAAATTAATTTTTTTTAAAAAGAAATTTAAAAAAATTCTACTTAGGGGGTCAGGACAGGCACAGAACTTTGATCTCCCTGAACAGTCACAACAGACCAGAATCAATATTCATGTCCTCCTCCCCCCCAGACCATGTCTGGATCACGTGCCGGGACGTGGAATCCGCTTTCTGTGAGGTGACTCCTAGAGGGGCCATTACCTGGTGACATTTTAATTTCTAAAAGTAAAACATCAAAAACCATGGGGTGAGCCCTGGCCGATTTGGCTCAGCGGTTGGAGCGTCCACCTGCAGTACAGAGAGACCCGGGTTTGGTTCCCGCTAAGGGCATGTACCTCGGTTGCAGTTTGTCCCCAGCCCTGGTTGGTCGTGCGGGTGGCAGCCACTCGATGTGTCCCTTTCACATCGATGTTTCTCTCTCTCTCTCTCTCTTCCTCTCTCTCCCTCCCACTCTATCTGTACAAAAAATGGAAAAATGTCCTCGGGTGAGGATAAAAAAAAAAACAAAAACAAAAAAACCATGGGGTGAAATTGTTTTCTTTTGAAAATTGTATTGGAAGTTCTTGCTCCTCAGGGGTTCTCAGAGCTTCGGCTTAGACAGGGATACTGCACGGACTCTGCTCCCAGGGGTTCACCGCCCGGACACAGCTCGCTCTCAGTCTGTGCTCGCATGTGCTTCTCTACCTTCCGGAGGGTCCCTGGAGCTGGAACAGGAAACTTGACTGGGAGACAGTATTTTCTTAGACACCCTGTGCTCTGGCCTCCCAGGACCGCCTGGCTCTCGCGTGGAGGAGGCAGCCGGCAGAGGGAAGGGGGTGCAGGTGTGCAGCCTGCCCGCCTGTCCCTTGCGCAGGCTTCCGCACGAGAACGCACTGTTTCCTCATCTCGGTCCTGCAGGTCTCTGGAGGGACCATAAGAGAGCTGATGGAAGCCCTGAGGCAGATGGGCTACACCGAAGCGATCGAGGTGCTCCAGGCCGCCTTCTGCGCCTCAGGAACTGCAGGCCCCAGCCCACTGGAGACCGCCCCGCAGGCCCACTCGCGGCCTCTCTCACCCGCCTCCACCAGACAGCAACTAGGTAACGAGACAAAGACAGAAAACACAGTTGAGATATTTTCTGCTTCCCAGGCCAGTGTGCCAGGCGGTGTGTTCAGTCTCTTGGGATATAGCACGTCCTTCCCACCATGATCTCCTGAATATGGGGTCCCAGGTGTCTGTCACCTCCCCGCCAGGGGCTCACAGTTCTACCTCCTGCCCCTCCTGACACCTCTGTTCAGGTAAAGGGCTGTCCCCAAGAATGATCACAGTTAACACGTGAGTTCCTTAGATTCACAATAAATACTAAAAACAACATGTGGGTGGTTAAGGTAAATACTATTTCTCTCATCTTTTAAATTTAAAAGAGATGGAGAGAAAAATGCACTAGAACCAGCACCAGCACCCAGACTGGACGGACACTGTGCTGTTCCCCCCACCCCTCCTCGGCTCCTCAGCCTCCTCCCCATGTTCACGACACTGACCTTGTCTCCCGCCCTTACTGGTTCCACCTGTCAGCCCCCTAAACACGGGACGCGGTGGACTCTCTCAGCCCAGAAGTGCTGCATTGCCCTTTATTCCCCAACTCTGAACCACCACGCCACGCTTTTCTTTCTAAGCCCCGCATCCCCTCCCCTGCACGCGCCATCTCTCCCTCCCACTGGATCCCCTGGCACGCATGCTGTGGTCTCCCTCCTCTTTTCAAGACAAAACAAAAACACTCCCCCTACGTCCCCTTTACCTGCAGCCCGATCCCTCTGCCCTCCCACACAGCAGAGCTGCTCAGGAGAATTGTTCAGCGTTGTTCTTTCTGCCTTCTCCTTGGCCCCTGCAGTCGGGGCCCACCCCACCCCTCTACCAGGTCTGCTGTCCTCACGATGCCCAGTGTTTGGTCACCGGCTCGCCATCCTTCTCATCCCTCCACTGCTCCCAGCACGCATCCCCGTTGACCATTCCCTCCTGCTTCACGCAGTCTCCCCTCTTGGCCTTCTCCTCGGCACACTCACCTCGCTGCCTCCTCCCCACGCCCTCGTGAAGCCACAGCCCTCCAGAGCCCTCCTTACTTGCCCCTACTTACACGGGACTGTCAACACCCTACCTGCACTGAGGTTTGGCCACGTCAGAAGCACTGCCACCCTCCAGGGCGTCAAGACAAAAACCTAAGACTTGTCCATGAACGCGTCCCGGTCCCACCCACTGTACAGCCGGCCACCCAGGCTTCTCTCTGCAGCACCAGCCTCGTCCAGCCCTCCGGCGTTGCTTGTCTCCACCCGCAGCCGCTCAGGATCAGTCTCCGGTTCCCCTTCCGTCCATTCTCCAGAATTAGTGGGATCGCGGTACTCCCATTGTATACCCTCCAATTCGTTCACCCAGTCAGCGGATCTTTACTGAGCACATCCTGTGTGCTTAGCACTGTTGGAGGCTTGGAACATGGGGCAGTGAGCAGTAAAGGCAGCGCCCCTTCTTTGTCATTCTCTCTCTGAAACGTGGCTTTCCCCTGCCCTTCCTGCCACCCCACTGCCCTCAGCTCCACTTTCCTTCTGCCCCCCCCCCCCCCAGTGCAGTCCAGCCTGGAGCCTTAGAACCTGCTCTTCCCCTTTGGCAAAGATCCTCACCTGGCTGGCCTTTGCCATTCAGTTTTGACAGCAGTGTCACGTGTTGGGAGCCCTTCCTAGGGGAGTCAGGACAGGTGTACCCACTTGAGAAAAGAATGTGTCCACCAGGGAAACATCCACATCTCCTGCCTCATGACCCGATGCTCCTTCCACACAAAGAAATGGGTACTTATGTGTTCAAAAGCATTAAGCCCTTGATTTGTAGCTATTTTTAAAATATTTCACAGTTCCCAGCACATAATAGAAACTCAGTAACGATCGGTTGATTGAATAAGTTAGTCAATAACGAGATAATAGCCATGTCACTGCTGTTAAAGTCTTCATTTTAATACTGGAATTTAATATATAACAAGATAGCATTTTGATTCAGGTATATTCAACTTCTGTTCCCTTGATCACTTTCTCTATATAGGAAAAAATTCACATTGTTCATTCAAATCTCTGAAAACACTTCTCAACAAGGAGATGTTGACCTAATTCTCCAGTATAGACTCATTTTCATCAAAACCACCTTATTTTTTGCTCCTAAAATATTTTTGAAGCAGTGTATAGTGCTTAATAGCATACGAGACCCAGGAAGGTATCTTATTTTTAGTTCCTACGTCTGTCACCAATTTGTTTTGCTTACGTTCACCAGTTTCCCCAACTGCAGGTGACACAGTGGTTGGAAAAACATACCTGACTTCTAAGAAAGACAGGTACACTTTGGGTCAAGAGAATTCAGAAAGGATTCTGATAAACATGAGGCCAGGTTGTAGGAAAGAGATGTGAAAGCATTTGGCTAATTTTAGTGTCTTCACAGTTTGTATATTACTTTGGGCGCTTTCGGCCCCTCACCCCACTGAAATGGGACAAGCGGGCGGTGCAGGCAGAATGTAGTGACTTGCAGAGGCGAATGGGCAAGGGCAGCCCACATGCCTTTCAGATCCAGGCTCTGAGCCCGGCTGGAATGAAATGCATGTGAGAGCCAAGGCTTGGCCTTGTTCCCAGCTGCACCCCAGTGACTCCATGCGTTTCCCCCTCAGACGAGCTCCGAGACGACAGCATCTGTGACAGCGGCGTGGAGACATCCTTCCGCAAACTCAGCTTCACGGAGTCTCTGACCAGCGGCAGCTCATTGCTAACTCTTAACAAAATGCCCCACGATTACGGGCAGGAAGGACCTATAGAAGGTAAAATTTAGCCTTCTGGCAGTTCCCAGCATCCTGTAAACCAAAGTTCTGAAATTCCACTGGACTGTCCAAGAGAAGGAAGGGAAAGTGCATCCAGGGGTGCTCAGAGGAACACCGGCCGCCCTGGACAGCGCTGGGCTTCACTCGAGGCCTCTGAGACCCGGCTGCCTTCCTCGGCTCTCCAGGGAATTTCAGCCCGGCTCACTGGCATATAGTCTCTAGCAGGCACGGCCTTCGGCGGGGCTGGTGCCTCGTGGAGGTGAGGTACCTTGTTGAGCTTTACCGGCTGCTTCCTGTCATCATTGCTGCTCCCCCTCTGCTGTGTCCCCACTGCCATTACAAGGTTAAGTCCCCACCTGGTGTCTTTCTCGCCGGCCACAGCACAGTCGTGCACTCAGATTAAGAATTAAGGAAATTCTTAATATTTTATCAAGAATATTTTAAATAAGATATTTTAAAAGGCGCCATCAGTGTATAATTGAAAGAGGCTTACTGCTTTTTCTCACGTGGTGTATCTCTGTGATTTGAAAAAAGAACATGTATGTGTCGATATTTAAACATGGTTACAATCAGTGCTGAAAATGGTCTTTTCCCCTTTTTCTGCATTTTGCTATTGTAAATATGTTTTTAGATCAAATACTTTAAAAGAAAGAATGTTGGATTTATAAATGCTATTTTTTATTTTACTTTTATAATAAAAGGAAAAGCAAACGGATGGCCTTGTCTTGGAGCTATACAAATACTTCCCTTTACCATAGGGCTGTTTCACAGCCTGGTTATCATCCTCCCGTTCCCCTGTAGCGTCAATTTCTCGGTCCAGAAATAAACACAAATTATGAGAAGAAAAGTGTTTTAACCTGAGACGAAAGCTTTGGGTTTGTTAAATCCCTGCTTGGCTCATTTCATTTAAGCTGCATCACCTCACGGCCCCCGCGTCACGCACAGCCCTTCCTCCTCGGCCCTCAGTGTGTTTTCAGTGCCCTCGTGATGCACAAGGTATCGAAGTTGCAGCACACCAGAGGGTCTTGTACAAGAAACCTTCCGGCATGGTGCGCGGCTGCGCTGCCCTTCACTCAGCTGGGAATAAGGCGAGCGGAGGTGAGAAGTGAGTGAGGGGCTGTGGGGGACACTGTGACGTGCAGCCAAGGTCCCTCTCTCACTGCGGACTTGTTGGCCCGGCCGCTGGAGCACACTGGGTGAACGGCCACCTCACCCAGGTCACGCCATGTCCATGCCGGTCCCATGTAACACTGATTGACGTGGCGTAGGAGAGCTTGTCCAACCTAGGACAACACTGAAGGGCTGTTTGACCTCCAGAGCTCCCTCAAGGGGGCCGAGGTGTGTTTTGGGTCTGCATCACAGCTTCCCTCTTCCCTCTGTCTGGTACTCTTTTTTGCCCCCTCCTTCCCACAGGTGTAGATCCCAGGGCACTCCCAAATAAACATCCTGCTCGTGGGTCTCCATCTCCCAATCAGCTTCCCGGAGAACCCAACCTGCACAGGGGCAGGGAACTGATGCTGACCCGTTTGCACAGCATGTGAAGTCATTTGCTCATGAAAACAACCCAAGACGGTTTGGAGGATTATCCCTAATTTGCAGACAAGGAAATCAAGGCTTCAAGAGTTCAAGTAGGCAATGGCTAAGCTGCTTCTGAGTGCATACCCCGGTCCGGTTAGCTCCAGAGCTCACGGGTTGGAGAGTTATCTTGGTAAGATAAGAAGGTAGATTTAAATAACTGAGTCCAAAAGTAGACCCCAAAATATATCAGAATTTAGTATATGATAAAGAAATTTTCAAATCAAGGAGGAAAAGATGAGTAATCAGCAAGCAGATGTTCTAACCCATTAATCACTTGGGGGAAAAAATCAATCTGAACTCCTATGTCCCTCCTTTCATCAAAATAATTTCCAAATCTATCAAAAATTAAACCATACTAGAAATCATGGATGAATAACCTTGAAATAGAAAGGCCTTTTTAAAGCAGGGCTATTTGATGGTGTAAAGTAGTTTGGGATCTTCATTTTACAGTGTGTCCCAGAAGAATAAATTGTTTTTTATTCTACTTCTGTTTTCTATTACACTGCCATTCCTCCATACATCCCAATCCATTATTCCAGTTTTTGAAAGTTGTACCTTTAAAGGAAAAAATAGGTCTGACTCTCTCTAATTCTCCAACAAGCCCATGTCTCCCCTCCCCCACCAGTTCCTCTCTGTGTCAGACTGTCATTCTCCGTCACGCTGGGATAGGCCTCCTGTCTTTTTTTTTTTTTTTTTTTGTACATGCCCCTAGCGGGAACTGAACCCGGGACTCTCTGGTCTGAAGGCCAATGCTCCAACCGCTGAACCAAACTGGCCAGGGCAGAACTCCTGTCTATAGTACAATGTTGACACCCTCCCACTGGGGAAGGGGGCCTATCTTCCTTCCCTGTGAATCTAGGAGGACCTGTGACAAAACAGAAGTGATGCTAAGTGACTTCCAAGCTCAGGTCAGAACATGCAATACTGCCCAGTCCCCCCAAGTCACTCCCTCTTGGGACCCAGTTGCCATGGTCTGAGGGAGCCACGTGTCCACATTGGAGAAGCCACATGTAGGTTTTCAGCCAACAGCCTTCACTGAGGTCACAGTCAGTGCCAAGTTCAACCAGCAGATGTGTGAGGGGGCCACTGAGTCACACTTGACTGGTCTTCTAGCTGCCCAAGTGGAGCCGGGCTGCTCTGCTGAGCCCTGCGCAGATGGCAGCGATGAGTCAGCGCAGGAATGGCTGATGTTCTAAGCCCTCGGTGTGGAGTGGATGGTTGCCACTCTCCAGTTCTCTGACCTGACGGTTCCCACACCAGGTCACTTTAAAGAGAAGCTGACTGGCAGGAGGAACCACTAAGCAACTCCTGCTGAGACTGAAAATACATTCCCCTTTTCTAATAGGAAGCCTCATTTCTCTTCAGTTCCAGAAGCTTCCTCTTCCTGCCCCCACATCTCAGAGCTGACCAGAGCCTCTGCGAGGTGCTCTAAAGAGAAGGCTACCGAAGCCAGTGTGCCTCTGAGGCAGGTCTCCCTCATTCTGTACCAGCAGATGGGGGTAAATGCCAGGAGGAGCGCAGGAGCGCAGGTGGAAAGACACTGGGCCTGACCGACCCCCCTGAACGCTCCTCTCTCAGCAGGAGGCCATTTAAAAATAGCTGCCTCGCCCTGGCCAGTTTGGCTCAGCGGTTAGAGTGTCGGCCTGCGGTCCGGAGAGACCCGGGTTCAGTTCCCGCTAAGGGCATGTACTCCGGTTGCAGTTTGTCCCCGGCCCTGGTTGGTCGTGCGGGTGGCAGCCACTCGATGTGTCCCTTCACGTCGATGTTTCTCTCTCTCTCTCCTTCCTCTCTCTCCCTCCCACTCTATCTGTACAAAAAATGAAAAAATATCCTCGGGTGAGGATTAAAAAAAAAAAAAAAAAAAAAATAGCTGCCTCAGAACCTTGTCTCCTCTTGATGTTTCTATACTCTGCAGGTATAACCTAGACTTTTTCAGGATCAGCTGTCTTTCCTTTTGGTAGAAGGAAGTCCTGCTGCTGCTCGTTTACCCACCCGAGTCCCCTGCAGTAATCACAGGTGGCGTGGATGTCCCCAGCCACCACATGGAGCATGGCCCCTTAGACCGGACCTTCTGCGTCTTTGCAGGAGAAAGAGAGGGAAGGAGCCCGACAGATTGGAGTGTTTATTACATGCCACCCTCTTTGCATTAATGATTTCTAATATTCTTAAGATATCCTTATCAGGTATATATTTAACCCCAATTTTTCAAAGAGGAAACATCATCTAAATATTAACTAATTCAACCAAGATGTAAATCTAGATCTATTTGATTCCACAGTTCATTCTTCAATGATGTCTGAAGTCCTTTGAAGAAAAGATGCTATATTTAAAAAAGAAAAAGTTGCTGGTGTGGCTCACTGGTTGAGCACCGACCCATGCACCAAGAGCTAGCCAGTTCGATTCCCCATCAGGGCACATGCCCAGGTTGTGGGCCCAGTTCCCAATGTGGGGCATGCAGGAGGCGGCCAATCTATGTTCTCTCTCATCGATGTTTCCATCTCTCTTTCCCTCTCTCTTCCTCTCTCTCTCTAAAGTTTATAAAGAAAAAAAATGTAAAAGAAAAAAATTCCATACAGATCAGTACAAAGATGATGGACTTATACCCCAACCAAGAGGCAAGAGAGTATTACTAAAAGGGTATGTTGCTTAAATACTAACATGACTTGATTTCCCCTCTAATAACAGGCTAAGATGCTTATATGAACGGAGGGAGCGGCACACAGACGTGCCCGGGAGAGGGGCAGCGGCGCCAGCGCAGGCTGTGCAGCATCCCGTGGGCTGCGCGGCGGGGCACAAGGCCTGGTGCGCTAGTCCCAGCGAACTCCCGGGAGCAGCCAAGAGAATCGAGCTGGTTTTCCTCTTCCCACCCTTCTCCTTCGGGCCCCACTCTCCTTTTGCTTTTTCCTCCACACTCTGCCGGTTCTGCCCAGCAGTTCAAACCAGGGCTTCAACCTGCTGCCGAGTATCAGTGCGGAGTCCTGCTCCCACCAAGCAGGCCTGGCCCAAGGCCACAGGACCAGAAAGCACATCATCCACCGGAACCACCACCACCGCCCCCTCCCCGCCCCCCATCACCGACCCCTTCCCATCCCCCCCGCCCCCATCACCGACCTCTTCCCACCCCTCCCCACCCCACCACCTACTCCTCCCCACCCCCTCCCCGTCCCCACCACCACCACCACCACCACCGACCCCTTCCCATCCCCCCGCCCCCACACCACGGACCCCTCCCCACCCCACCTGCTCCTCCCCACCCCCTCCCTGTCCCCACCACCAGCACCACCGACCCCTTCCCATCACCACCACCACCACCACACCACCAACCCCTTCCCACCTCCTCCCTGCCCCCCCACCGACCCCTCCTCACCCCCTCCCCGCTCCTCCACCCCCACCCCGACCCCCCCACCGCCCCACCGCAGCTCCAAGGCCAGGTCCCGCAGAGGGACAGGACAACCCCGAAGAACCGCTCCACCCTGCCCCTGTCCCGTCACTGTCCGGGGCCACAGCACCGCGGGTACGACCTCCCCGGGAGAGTGGACAGGCTGAGGAAGTAGCATGTGCCGTGGAGGGGCGGGCACTCAGCCAGACACCAGGCAGTCCTTGCCCTCCCTCCCCTCCTCCTCGTGCTGATCCGGGAAGGTCACAGCCACCACTTGGCCCGACTGCCTTCCTCCCTCGCCAAAGGCACTCAGGAGTGATGATCAACATATGCGCACAGCGTCGGGGCCAGGGACCACACTGGTTCTGAAAGGCAGAGGCTCCAGGTTTACCTTCAGGAAAGAATTGTGTGCGTGACGAGACATCCACGCGGCCACACGCCAGCCCTTGGAGAGAGGAGGCCCTGCGGAGCCCCGGGAAACGCCTCTTCTTCACCGGACTACCTTCCTTCCTTCCAATCGGCCTTGACTCGGCCCAGCCCTTTTCCTATCCGTCTGTTACGGAGCTCATCTGACTTCCCCCATCGATCATCTATTCTGGAGGCTGTGTGCTAAGTTTTCACAGATCCATAGTAATTAAATTAGTATTAAAAATCATACAAATGCCACCCTTTTCCCAAGGTAGCGACACTGGAAGGAAATGAGGTAAA